GGCCGTGTGATCAAGATAATGGGGAACGCCGCTTACAGCCCAATCATGGATGGTGCTATCGGCCTTGAAAGCAGGGGTTGCCTACCAGCCTTATGACTGACCCTTGCTTGGTAATATGGTCAGCTCTAATTTCCACTCTTTTCTCTTTGTTTACGCGAGCTTTCCAAGAGACTCGCCATCCTCGGGGCATTCGTTCTCTATTTATGCTCCTTGAGAAACTTAAATCTTACGCCGTGTCATTGAATCTAACATCTCACTATGGCTAGTCCACCGCCGCCATTCACGGTCCGCATCTTACAAAAGGACTTCCTTAGCGACGGCTTGGAGTCCAAGGATGAGTTTAATAGCCTCCTCCCTGCCAGCAACCGCTTCAACGATGACATTGTCGTTCCTACATCGGACCCCAACTTCCTAGAGCGGGAACTATCGGTTTCACGCCTCAATGACGTGCAAGAATGGCTCTGGGCTTGCGGCCGCCCAATGCCGCCCCGACCACTTCATCACCAACGGCTCATCTCGCGAGAGATCGTTATCAGCGAGCTCTCTGAGCTGCACATGATCTGGTGGAGAAATCGTATTTTTCTCAAGCCTATACCGGCTTATCTACTTGATCCCGACTTCTGGGTCAGCAACATCAGCGACACAGCCCATCTTGACGTGACCGAGGGCAACATTGATGCCTCCGCACGGGGATTTCTCTTCTCCTACGCTGCACTCATCGCATACAAAAGCGACTTTCGCATCGCAAAGGAGCATGGATTACTGCCTGAGGAAGTGACATGGGAGGGCTGGAAAGCACTGACTGCTCAGGTTCTCGAGAACCACCGTTACGATCGCGTCAATCCGCGCTACTGGTACGGAGAGCTGCGGCTGAGCAGGTTGAACAAAGTCTACGCGCTTCGCAAAGGATATTTGCTGCGCGGCTACTCACGAGTCGCGTCGCATACAGTCTACGGCGATCTCATTCGCGACAATTTTTCGGTCCTTGCTGGTATTCTCGGTTATGTCGTGATCGCGCTCACGGCGATGCAGGTCGGATTGGGTGTTGATCGGCTGGTCGAGAACCAGGCGTTCCAGGATGTGAGTTACGGATTGACGGTGTTTACATTAATTGTGCCGCTCATTGGAGCGCTGTTCATATTTTTCTTTGTGTTTATCATGATTGTCAGCAATTGGAGGGTCACCAAGGCGTTTGAGAGTCGACGTCTGAAAAAGATGAAGGTAAAACTCTTGCGGAAGAAGTAGACAGAAGAAATGTCGCATAAGTTAAAATACAAATCATAATAAACGAACACACTCGTCGAGGGTAAATAACCGACGAAAATAATAAAAATGCAACTTGTTTAGACAAAAAGGTTATGTGCCTGTCACCTCTCATACCAAGCAAAGGTTTCAGTGATATCGTGGTAAGAAATGCTTGTTATGAGATGCAACAGGTTCTGTTGTAAGTAAGGATGATCACGCTGGGGATCGAACCCAGAATCTTCTGATTCGTAGTCAGACGCCTTGCCATTGGGCCACGCGACCTGCTTTCTTCGGTAATGGCCGCTCAAATGAGGGACTACATCGCTGCAGCAAGCAGATGCCCATTAAAGCATTGCGCACCTAGGTGTGAGGACCATCTATGGTTGTTTAAACTTGATTTATTTCGTAGACGTGACTAAAATAAAATTACAATAGAGATTTTCGATAGTAAACCAACAGGACAATTAGTTCATACTTGTCAAACGACAGAAAAACACAACAAATACTTCAGAACCTGACACATTATATAGAAAGTATTAAAATAAAAAGTCTCATTAGTTGATTATAGTCTCTTTGATCCCGTACATATGATGTCCTACTTCATGTAGGCCAAGCACTGAAATCGCCCATTGATACTGCTGTGTAGGGTAGGTCAATGGATGAAATAGGCGCGGACCTATTCCGCCAACTTCCGCTCCTGAAACGATGTGATAATCATTGGACCATGGCAGAATATTATCGCTTGCCGTCACGAAACGTCAAATTACATTAAGAGACCCTTGAATTGTGATAAATCTCGATCAACACGGCAGAGGACTGGATCGAGGAATAGAATGTCCAGCACTCACTTGGTCCCCAAAATCCTGATGTAAAACGTCTTCCTTCGGTCAAACTTCGAGAATATTCTTCAGCAACTGATTATCCGGATGCGCTCTGAAGATGAAATCACCATTATGCACTGGTTTAAGCTTCCCATCATTGACAGAGCTACAACTAGAGCCTTTCGAGTGACTCTTAGGCACTCCAACCACGACGACTTGGCCAACGCCATCCTCAGCCTCTGCGATCGCAACAAATCCTAAGGAACTTCAACCTTGAGCCCTAGGACCCTTTAAAGCTAGCTGAGGCTCCATCAGAGTTTATGAACCGTGTGGTGTATATCAATGTTCTAATTCGCGTGGGTGCCGGCAATATCAGAAGGACGCCGTCGAAACAGCCACCACATCATCTTGTTAGGCCAATAGAACCTGGTGCGAATATCTCCACGTTCATGAAAAGCAAAGTATACGTCGGGTCCACGATTGATTTATGCCGGGGGTATCTTCGAATAAAACAGCACGAGGTAATGATCATTAAGTCCGGCATACCTGGCATCCACTACGACCTTGCACGACAGGGCGACGTATGCTCAAACTTTCGCGTGTTTGGTGTTTAGTAGAACACTGAGAAACTTACTGATAACCAGAACGCATAGGAATTGCAGAGGTGGGAGCCGCAATTACTTGAGGGATTCTTAATGGTATACCTGGGCACATTTCACCCCATGAACAAGCCCATTATCTTTCCTGAATGCTGCATCGACAAGGGGCATGAGTTGACGGATTGTTTGAGAGATGGGTTAGCTCTACGGGAATTCCATGTTCGTTCCTTAAATAAAACGTAGCCGCTATTGCAGTGCAGGACATACGGGAAGGGATGATACACAACAGAAAATATAGCCATGAACCAAAAGTCAATAGTCTAAAGGCCTACTAAGATATATCGACCCTGAATGAACCTTATTATTGCCTAGAACAGAGGTCTTGGGCTTTCTTGCCACCACTAGCTCTCTTGCAGAATGTTCAAACGCTTGCCAATTACATCGCCACGATGACCCTCAAGGCAGCCCTGCCTTGGCTAAGACGACCAAGGAAGATGATCCCAGGACCATGACATCAATTAATACGTTTCCTATTATCATATGTTACACTGTGTCAATACCCCCAAAGCGTATCTTCTTTCGCAGCCTTGATCAGCCACTCACGGCAGACATAATCGACCCTTTTCGCGTGCATTGGTATCTCAATAGGCGAGACATCAAGGAGTCCAGTCGGGTCGTGAATATTTCCGTTTTCTGCATCAATAATAGGTGAGCTAAACTCATGATTGACAATGACAATCCTCAAGGGCCGGGCATAGGTCGAGTCACCCCCAAACTCGGGGTTCCAAAGCTCGCTGCCAATAGACTGCTTGATGTTCCAAGTCTGAACACGAAGTAAATAAGGTCTTGTGATCACCAGATGCTCGATGTTTCGGTGTAGTGCAACATTGTACCAGAGTCCTTCGTCACTGAGGTTGATGCTGAATCCAGCGACTTTTCGTAGTTTGGGCCAAATTTGGCTGACGTTGAGCTCACTCCTCCAGAACTCTAATGAAGGCAGGCCGCCTAAGGTGACGAATTCTTCGAGGTTGACCAACGCTTGTAGACCCCGAGAGAAGACTTGATCGATATGCGCATCGATGCTATGTTGCATAGCGATTCTGCGAAACGGCAGATCAACGATTAATCGGCGGACAGAGCCACCAAGCTCCAGAAAGACATCGCGTACGAGCGCGCTAGCTCGTATCGACTGGATCTCCTCGAGGCTGAGACCGAGATAGATGGACGACACTGCAGAAAGTGGGATGGTAGTGGGAAGATGGCCGCCTGCCTCCAAAGTCTTGGAGTAGTTTAGGCAGCGCAAGAATTTCTGAAGTCGAGGTATCGAGTCAAGATGTACACAGTGCTGCCGCAGAAACCTTGTGGCCGGCTCATACGTCGCGCGGCATACCCTTGTCCAGGTGACGAGCTGCTGAACTTCCGGGGTTGCAACGTCAATAATCCGATTGGGTTCACCAGACGGGATGGACGTTTCGAGGATCTGAAGGACGATCTCGAAAGGGATATAAAGGTTACGCGTCATATTGAAGGAGTATGTATAAGACAATGGAGTGTTCTTTGAGGCTGTGTTACGTATGTTTGTTGCGTTGAGGCCGAAGCCTTGTATTAAGAGGGTGTTGTTTGGTCGTTGCCTGTTAGGCTACGATTTAATGTCAACAAACAAAGGCCAATCTTTCCAGCCAAAAGAGATCGACTTGATTCAGGCACCAGAATTAACTGTGTCGGCTATAACCCGGCCATCAACTTTGGTGGAACATGGACAGAAAGCGACCTGCGGCCGCTGAAACTATCTGTTTCAGTGCTTGTAGGCGCAGGGATCAACTGGTTTTAGCGGTACTTTGCCTAATGTTCCAGTGGAGCGCTAGCGAAAGCAATCTGTGGAACCTGGAGCTAACGGAGCCCGAGAGCGCAACGAGGTCCGTCCTTCTTTCACAACAACTAAGTCATGCCACATGTGTTGAGTAAGGGAGCGACTGAATTTTCGGATCTGTAGTCCTTACTCCGAATGGTAGGTCTTGAAAGCCTTGAGTTCAACCTTATGGCCAGCAACTTTATTCGCGGCAATGCCAGTTGCAGCGAGTCCCGAGGTACGTACTGCGGCAGATCCAAGTCTATCAAATGGAAAGCTGCGAGTGAATTCATACCATGGTGCAGTAGCCGGCGGAGTTGGACCATGTTGCGAAATGCGGACATGTTGCGGAGTTTGGTCAAGGCATGGATCGACGCGATAAACTTTATAAAAAGATCTTGATGAGACCTTTACTTAATCATCCATATCATATTTCAATCAGCTTGTAGTACAGCATCATCTTTCTATAAAATACTCCTAGAAACCATGGGCTCTACACCAGCCACCAGCAGGGCGTTATATGCCGACGAGGACGGCAAGCTTGTCGTTCGCCATGTTCCTTTTCCCGAGCCCCAAGAAGGAGAACTTCTCATCAAGGTTCTGTACTCGGGCGTCAATCCTGCCGATACCAAAATCATTGACTTCTTCGGCTTGAAGAACTATGTCATTGGAACAGAATTCTGTGGCGAGGTCCTCGAGTCTAAGACCCTTGCCTCCACGTCCTTCAAAGCAGGTGACATTGTGGCCGAGGTCCTTTCTGGGGGCCAGAACCCGCCATTGCGTTGGGGAACGCACCAAGAATTCATGATAGTTGTTGCATCGTGGGTCTGGAAGGTTCCTGAGAACTTACCGCCCCAAGACGCTGCTGGTCTTTCTATCGTTGGTGATGTTGTGACTGCACCAAAAGCGAGAGTTCCCTCAACTAACAGTACGTAGGGCTGACAGCTGCCACCGGCCTTTTCAACGACATCGGCCTTCCGCTGCCACCGAATTTTGCCAAGGGTACGCCCGATGAGGGTGTCGCTGCCACAGAGGGAACATTGGTGATCTGGGGCGGTGCGACAAGCGTTGGTATGGCTGCTGCTGATCGACATTGGAGGGGCTTTCGCTGGGCTGTTGAGAATTATGGTGCCTCTGGCGGGTATGTGCCAACGCCTGTACGGGTCTTTGAGGGTTCTGGAGAGGATGCGATCAAGGAGGTGTATAACGTGAAGAACATGGGCACTTTCGGGAAGTTGGTGCTCAAGCATCCTTTGAAATGATTGGCTCTATATTGATATGACAGACAGACGTGAATTTGACTAAGTTCTCTTGGCTGATTTAAGCTGTCGTTCACAAGTCTCAAAGACAAACAGCACATCTAGCTCACAACTTAGACGATTAGCATCAGATCTGGGGTGATAGTGTACCATTTCAACGACCTTGTTCGCTGGTACGGCGACCCCCAAAGCTTCGTAAAATTACACGCAAAGCATAATGATCACTAATGGGGCGAGTAAGGCCACCTAATGATGAATATCGGTGAAGTATGTCATTGGCAGGTCACGAGCTATGTGGCTGAGAGCTTCTAATCACTATATGGAAGTTTAAAAAAAAGGAAGGTTTTGAATGTGAAGTATAGACGTCGCCATCAGCTATATAAACAGGCTCTTTGGGGGAAACAACCCCTCTCCATCCATTTCATCCCAAAAATTCCAATTCACTTCTCCACGGTCACTACCAACACCCAAAATGACTACCGAAACCGACCCTTCTCATGAGTCTCCGTGGTACGAGTACCTCCAGAGCGACCTCTTCTGGGTCTTGACCATCCTGATTATATCCACTAGCATCTGGTCAGAAGGGCAACACAATTTACTCTCCAGGAAATGCAAAGTACAAGAAGACACCCAATACAGCGAGGCTCCGCCTCAGCCAGCCTCTGGCATCAACCTCAAAGATCAAATCACCTCGCGCCTTCGCCAGTCTCTCGCCGTCTTGCTTTGCGCCTCGATAATCCCTGGTGAACTAGCCCACGGCTTGGACGTCCTCAAAACTATGTGGCGACTATCTCTGTGGCTGGTCCAGTCTCACTATCCGGTTAGTACCAGGCCACATCTGTTGGGCATTCTCATGTTCTCCCCCATCGCTATCCCTCTGCTGGGGGGCTGGTGCGCGGTAGTGGGAGGAGGGTACTGCATTGTCTCCACACAGATTGGACTTTGTATCGATTTATGGAAACTCGAACCCAATGCGCAACCTGCTCTTCTTTCAGAATGTGAAGAGGAAGTTTGAGAAGGATGAGATCTGGGAGGGTGAACCGGAGAGTGAAGGAGAACTTGCCTCGGTACACAAGCTATCTTAGCGACCTAAACCTCCTCGACCCATCTCTGGTTCCTCGTCTGGCGTCTCCAGGAGATGGATTGGTGAAGTAAACCAGATGAATCTGAATGATTTCTGGCCCCATCTCTCGACATGAAAGGACCCTGCAAACATGAGAACTAGTCTTGTCTCCTTGCAAGCTGCCCATAAGCTAGTTCACGTGTTTCTTGCATTGGAGGTCATTGATAGATGAATACTATCTGAAAATAAGTTGAAATGGTCTGACTGAGATCCGTTCCGTGGTTGGTTGGTAGAATGCCCGAGCACATCGTATCTTTGGCCATTCAACCTGTTAACTAGCATCAACAAGATCGAATTGCCACTGTCGAGCGCTTCCCATGTTTTCGAACATCCTAGAAGCAGATTGAGAAGAATTTTCCTTGACATCAGTCAATGATCCGGTAAATCTTGTCTTGCCTTGTGCTGGCCACCTTATCATCCATCTATAGCTGGTCATGGTGGGTGAAGTCGCTGGCCAAGGTAGCTTCCACCTCTCTTGCCAGTCCCGTGTTCCCCGGGTCGCCCGGGTTGACTTACATGCCCATCATCCTCTTTTCCAAGCCATTTACCGTTGTCAGCATTGGCGGTTGATTCCACCTCCAATGGCGTGTCATAGGGCTTGGTGGTGGTGGAATCGTGAGGACTTGGTCTGATCAACAGGCGCATGGCCTGGCCTTATTGACATAGTGCAAATGGATGTCATCACGGGATTCAACAAAGCACAAACATCGCCCTTTAGTGTACTGTGGAGATATATTATGCTTCAATTAGGTAGCTCTTTTAAGAGTTGTGTTAAGCCCCATGGTAGATCATCAAACGACAAAGTACCGTCTTCTAGTCCCTTGAAGACTTTCTCGTAGATGTTTGCCACCTCCCAACTATCCCAGACTCCTTCACGTCTATTCATTGACCGTAATATCATGATCGATCTGTTCCGGATCTCGGCGTCTGTACATGAAGCGCAGATTGTAGAAAGCTCGCGAACCAGATGACCGTCAAAAGCAAACATTGGCCGGGTTTCAGAGTTTTCTAGCGCAATGATCTGCTCAATCTTGCTGAGTATTCTCTCGTAGTCACTGTTCGCAAACCCTGTGTTGTGAGGGTCTGTATTGTGAGGGTCTGTATTGAGAAAAGCTGACCATGTTGTCTGATACAGCGACAACACAGCCAAGCGGCGTTTCTCCAGGGTTCCAAATGGATTTATCTGGACAGACATGACAAACAACTGCATCTTTGAACTCCATGAAAGGAAAAGGGGTTTTATTAGATCGAGGGCAACGATGAACGACTCGGTTGCTGATTGTGCAAGGCTCTTGCAGCCAATTGTTTGATCGTGGTCGGGCGGAGTGTCGCTGCCAAAGAGGCAGTCGTCGAAGAAGGTGTTCAAGGCTGATAAGGAGTCTTCAGCTTCTGTGATGGTCAAGAAAGGCGTTTTGGGATTGCCCATATCTATCTCTGGGGTACACTGAGTAATGTTGGAGAAGGACGTATCTCCTGTGAAGGCGCCAACGCTTTTTCCGAGAGAGGAGAACATTGCAGCTAATGTTTTCAACAATCCAGCGTCTCCTGACTGACGGCCCATTCCGTTCGGCGATGTCTCTGGTGATCGAAGGGTTCGTAGTGATTCTAGAAGCTGATGGCCGGCGCGGAGATGGCGGACCGAGTCTGCATAACGACGGTGTAAGTTCTCGATGCAAATAAATATCGTACAGCATAGCAATGCGGTTTGTATGTTGGAGGCAGTGTTCTCTGCCATGACTGGACGTATTAGGGCAATAGCTTCGCTGTATTTGAGATTTGCTTGATGGTCGTAGTCGATGGAATGGTCCAAGTTGTTAAGGTTCCCTGGGTATGATGCGAGAAACCGCTGATGAGAAGCCCCCAGTGCACATAGCGCGTGTTTAATGGCAGTGTTCGAGTAGGATAGTGGTAATATGATGTCGTGCCAGAACTCTCTTGAGCCATCAATCATCTCGAGGTCGGGAATCACCCACTCCCTAGTATGGTAATACAGAGCATTATCAGCTGTATTGACCAACACTCCGCTTGTCAAAGCTGGGCGTAATGTGCTGGGCTCGCTGGTCATTTCCTCAGTCTTCGGATGCAAAGGCAGCTCATAAGACGAAGTGCCGCTGACGTAAAACTGCTCAGGGCTGCTCTGTGAGTAGCCCTCGCAGGTCCATTTGTCCCTCAAGCAACGAAGGCACGATGGCTTTGCTTCGTCGCATTTCAAGTGGCGACGTCTGCAACACTAGATTAGTCTTACAGCTCGTGCCATTCGCTATTATCTGAGTAACTGACTTGCTAGATTAAGAGTTAGCCGGGAAATCTTTTGCCGACCCGAGGTCTTGGAGACTTGACCTACCAAGTTTTGCAACCTGTTCTGACCTTGGGAACCTTGGCCCTGGTTCGCTTCTTCCGTGGTTGATCTTGAGGTTGTATGGTGGCCATGGTGATCCATTTGTTACGAGAGGGCTAACCATAGCTACATGTCGAGGAGCCTGAATGGACTTATAACATGACCGGTATGAATAGGGCTGTGCTAGCTCGTGATAGTTGACTCGCCCGAGCGTTTGCTGCAGCCCCCATGTCCGCGGGCCACCGTAGCCTGTAAGCTCATTGGTACTGCCGTAACTCGACCCACCAAGGGCCGCTGTTTCATGTCGCCGACTCAGCCGAGAAGCGAAATGCTTTTTAGCGACTTTTCCTTTTTAATGATGGATATTTCGTATTCCCGAGGGATCTAGCTCGTGTCAAGAGACTACTTGCCGCATCTGTACTAATGCGTGTTTTGAGTGACAGTCTCGTCTTAATTTATCTCCACGCTAGTCCTCGATATCCGGGCTACAGGGCTAGCCAACACCACAGCCACCACGGTTATGTCACAGCAGAGTTGGAGAGCATGGTGGTCATTGGGCATCTGCGCTACATGGAACTTCACTTCGTCCCACGATGGACCGGCGTAATGAAGTGCGGAGGGTTTCCCCAAGTCGCAATCCCTGTAGGTTAAAGATATGCTTGGAAATAGGATTGGAACTAGGCAACTTTTGGATTTGTTACGACAGATACAGAACCATCGTCACGACTTCACAATCAAGACTTGTCAGTGGCCAAGTCTTGTGGCCCCTTCCTGAGGCCCTCGCGTTTCCCAGAAGCACAGCTCCATCAATATAAGTAGTCAGATCTTGCTGACGAACCAGAATGGCAAATCAACAATCACTATGCTTCAACTCAAGAGGCTGCCATGGTCAACAGCTGCCGTTGCTCTAAAAGCAGTCATCGTCCTCTTTGGCATCCTTCTTTGCTACCAAGCCTACACATTCTACGGCGAATGGAGCTGGCCGAAATCTTTTAGTCGTGGCACCTCACAAGATCCTGTTTCTCTTATTCACCCTCATGGTGGGAGCCAATGTTTAACCTCGCTGAACTCCTCCTTTCTGCTAGAGGCAAAGACGATACGGAATGCATGCCGGAATATGCCTCCATACCCATCCTCGGACGTACGAATCGGAAGAGTCACTGCACACTTTGGCTCGGTCCAGGAACACTATCAGAAGGCGCTTGGTACGCACGTACTGCACAGCATGATCCATGACAACGACCTGGAGGTTATGTGTACTCCAGTCGTTGATTCACTCTGGAACAAACCTGCCTTCATCTTGTCTCTCCTCTTGAAAGAGATGGTCAAGCCTGCTCAAGAGCGCTTGGAATGGCTGTTCTGGGTGGACCGCGATACCCTCATTCTCGATCAGTGCCGCCCTTTGTCGAGCTTTCTCTCACCTCACGACGTTGACGATTCTGACGAAGACGAAGACACAGACGCTTCAGAGTCCGAGCGAAGAGACGAGACGAATCCCGATGACATACATCTCTTGGTGACCAACGACTGGAACGGCCTTAACAACGGCGTATTCTTCGTACGGGTAAACCAGTGGGCAATTGAACTGTTCAGCGACATTGCTGCATTTCGATACTACAGACCCAACGTCTCGCTTCCATTTACCGAGCAAAGTGCGATGGAGATCATAATGAACGAGCCAAAGTTCAAACCCAACGTTCGAGTTGTGCCTCAAGAGTGGTTCAACACTTATCCTAAAGGGTCGGCCACAGAATTCGTTGAGAAATCGGACGAAGATGGCTTGAAGGACTATCATGCAAGGCGAGGGGACTTCTTACTACATTTTGCAGGTCGCGGTGGAAGGGACAAGTTGATAAATGAGTGGGCCGAGATGTTGGAGGGTACCAGAAGCATATGGCCGAAAGAAGAGGTTCAAAGGAATGCGACAACAAGTATTCGGGGGTTTTGGTCCGGGCTCTGAGCCATCGAACTGAGAACGGATCTGGAACAGCTTTTATCAGCATACACTTAGACTTTAGAGGATCTGTTCCATCGCTTAATAATTTTAGTTTAAGTATGCACGTATTTATGTTATAGAAAGAATAAATTTGTTTGTATGATGAACTCCTGGGCCGCCTATCACTACGCGTGACGCATTTCTGACAGTCTCCGGCGTGGAGGTACGTGTATAAAGCCAGCCTCAAAAGACCCTATAGCTAAGAAGAAATACGCCTAAAATTGTAGGCAAGAAAGGTAAATTGCAAAGACTGCGAGCTTTCTCCTTCATCGTGAGCGTCATCATGCTTGCAAGCTGATCTGAGTAAAAACAGTCGGCAACAGCGGGGAACTTGAAGGCCAACAGGAAGTCCCTTCAATATCCAATTGAGACGGTTCCGTGGTCTAGTTGGTTATGGCATCTCGTTAACACCGAGAAGGTCCCCGGTTCGATCCCGGGCGGAACCACGTTTTTTGCCCTACGTCCATCGAGTGACATGTATTTTTTGCCCCAGTGTGATGTTAGGGACATTATCCAGCAGGTTGTATTGTTACTGAGCGGTAAGAGTCGAGGCGAAGCGGCAAGGCATTTTTTTGCATTGAATGCTCCCCAGGTAGAAAAGAATGAGCTGGACAATAGTGGCTTGAGACATCTTCCACCAACCTCTGCCTTGCCCATACCAAGCAACTGATGAGGCTTGCCTGAAAACAGGAAAATACAACTGCTCGTGGAGAAGAGACACATTGCTTAGCACTCGGGATCTGCAATCAGCCTGCTAAGGCCGGTCCGGTCGTTGAGGCCAGACTCTTAGTGGCGTATGACGCACGAATCAACATGGAATTGTATCGCTAAATCCATGGCGTTCAATAACCATAAAACTAAGCCTTTCAGCCTCACAGGGGAAGGCATGTTGCTAAGCCATTTGCGACTCACACGCTCGTCAATTCAGCCCTACCATTAATCGTCTTTGTCTCAGGACCATACCATTCTTCATCCGGCAGCCAGAAACGAGCTGGTGATGCGTGACATGGAAAGTTCCGCTTGGAAGGCCTAGCACTTTAAAAATGAGGCTGAAGAGCTGAAAGCCTTCAAAGGGCAGACTGAATCTGGGTTGCCAGTGGCTGGCTGCGACGACGTTCTGGGTCCTTGGCATCTAACCACGAGTACAGTACCTCATGTGAACGACGGCCAGTCTTGAGTATTTAATACAATTCTATATCCGGCATTTACTAGATAAACCATCATCCATTTGTCAAGACCTCCTCAAAAAAATCTGCAATGAAGGCCTTTTCACTTTCGATACTCCTCGGTGCCCTTCTCTCCCGCACTGACGCTGCTGAGCAGAAGCACATTGATGATGCCTGTAGTGATGTCAGGGGAGTCATCGACTGTAGTAGCACTGTCACGTATCCCGACTACCCAAAAGCCATATATAGTAAGGCAACGCAGCTTCAGACTCTTTCTCAGCTAACATCAATCTACAGACAATGGTGTCCAGATTGATACAGAAATTGTACCTAAGGACGTGGATATCTGCAGCGCTGTCGATGAGGCACTTGGCAGTAACGACTTCGTGAATAACGCCGAAACATATTGCTCTTGTCTCTCAAATGCCATTTACTGGGGCACCATTTCAAATGCCAAACCCAACTACGATGGCCAGATCAATGCCCACTTAACGGGGCCGTACCTTGACTTGATATCCAAGGATGAAACAGTACGTCAACTTGATCGTGTTCTCTCCACCATTCTCTGACCGTTCGAAGTGTCTTTCAGACAATGGATACAACGTAATGACAGACAGAGCATCGGTGGTTAGGAGCCAGCTTACAGCTACAAATGGCTGGACCATCATTCGGGCTCCCGAGGTAAGACAGCCCATTGACACAATGTTGTCATTACACAGACACTAACGAAGTTTCAGATTGACGTGGCAACGTACAGAAAGCTCGCCAAAGCAGTCATGTCCTGCTATACCGGAACATGTGATGGACCGAAAGTTCGTGCCTTTTTCGCCAGCTACGTTCAGAACTCATACAGTGTCACCGAAAGCGATTTTGTTGGGATGCTCAACAAATGGGTTTCCTTGTTTGATACTCTCAAGAAGAAGACGACAGATGTTCAGACCTATTCGAAGCAAGTTCAAGCGCGTCTCAAGACTGTTTCCACCAAAGTCAACTCAGTCAAGGCCAATGTCTGTAAAAACAATGCCTGTAAAGGGGCGACGCCAGCCAACGCGTTCAAGAAGTGTAAGACTTATCGCATCAAGGCTTAGAACTCTGACTAACTATTCTAAAGATGCAAGCACGATCGCAACAGTCAAGAGTCTACAAGGTGTTCCTAGTGCTGCAGGGAAGTCGCTTGCAAACATCCCCAAGATGAAGCAGATTACACAGAATGCCATCAAGTACACCGCAACTCCGGCAGATGAAGCCTATTATCTTAATTTGATGACTGAATATCACGTCAACTCTTTGAGAGACGTCATCAAGGCCTTCAGGGTGACTCAATATCTCCCCCAGGCAGCAGACGACTTGAAGAAGCTCACAGGGACTTTCAACCTCATCAGCAACCATGCAGGTGCCGCAAAGACTGCTGCTACGTCCATCAACCAAATTCTTTCTGCCAACTGGGCTAAAAACTCCCAGCTGTCCAAGACGGCATCTGGTCGCAAAGTCTGTGATGGTCTTACCAATATCCAGAAGAGCTTTAGGAATGATCTGAAAGGCCCCCTTGACAATCTCATCAAGGCCAACAAAGCAGTAGAAGACATTCTAGTTCAGCTACCTCTTCGGAAAAAGAGACTCGAATTTTCGTCTGGTGGTGTCTCTTACAGCCGCTGGATCGAGGCTAAAATGCCTGTTCCGTGCAAAAAAGAGAAGATATATTCTAAGACCATCGGGGGCTTCTCGGCGAGTATGACCTACGAGGAAATCCAGGCTTGTGAGTTTGGTCCGCAAAAGGTTTCATTCATTAAAACTGTCATCCCATATATGAAGTACCGCTTTGTTTGATATCTTGTAGACCTTTGGCGAGGTATCATTGAATCATGCTTCCACAAGGTGCATGGGCAATTTATTTGGGGGTCTATGGACTCACGCAGGCCAAGATAGTCTTTATACAGGTTTTATACTTACGGGAAGAATTTTGAAGCTGTTTGGTAGTACATTTGTTGCCTTTTGCCCTTAGTGTCTGCTGGTATGTGAGGGAGAGTAAATTCTGTACCTACTGACCGAGACATGATCTCGATTCTCCAATGTCACTCGCCAGTAACTGGCTAGTCACGGCTTAGTCTAATCTTATCTTTGACCGCTGTCTTTGCTTTTCATCATCTTCCATTCTTTTTGACGTCCCGTGATACCCTATTACCCCATGAAAATACCAACCCCGCAAACTGCCCCATGATCCGGGGAGAGTCGGGGCGCTAGTCCGGGCCGGCTGCACACCTATTAGCTAACCGTTTCCTCCACAGTTGAGAAAAGTCTGAGTTTTAACTCCTGCACTTTGACGCCACTGCATATGGAAATTAATGCGGTAGTAGTCATGGGTTAACTATTACCTAAATGTTGAGACGCGGGTCGAGGGAAGGGAACGGAAGAAAATTCTGCAAGATGCAGGGAGGAATCAGGATGTATCTATAAAAGGTCTCAATGCCAAGTCTTGAGGCTTATTGTCTTTTTAAAACAACCTGATTAGATTTTGATAGCTGGATAACTATCGAAAACCGGTACAAGGAACATCATGGCTACCAAAAGTATCGAAGAGATCCGTTCTCACTCCCCCAGCCCTTCAGCTCCGGGTTTGGGCCAATGCATTGGCAATCCTGTACATCATCTACCCTATCTCCCACCTAGACTGCAACTAACGTAACCTGATAGTCCCCATTGGCTATGGGCACCTTCGCCACTACGCTTCTCACTTTGTCTTTATCCATGATGGGCTTCCGTGGAGTTGAGACTCAGACTATCTTCATTGGCAACCTTTGCTTCGCTGCTGGCCTTTGCATGTTTGTCTCTGCTCAATGGGAGATGGCCCGAGGCAACACCTTCGGCTACTCTGCCTTGAGCGCCTATGGTGAGTGACTAAGACGATTCTCGACGTAGACGCTGTGAACCAAGGCTAATCACTTCTCTAGCTGTTTTCTATGGTGGTTACGGCGTCATACTATGTCCATCACTTGGGGTCCTTGACTCTTATGGCGGACCGACAGCCGAGTATCACAATGCATTGGGATTCTACGTTCTGAGTAGGTCTGAATTGATGCTCATATTGATCCGACAGCTAACCTTCCTGTAGTTTGGGCAGTCTTGACACTGTTTTTCATGCTTGGATCAGCTCCCATGTAAGAGTTCTGACATTCTTTAGTCTTCACAAAGTTGACAAACTTTAGTAATCTGGTTTCATTTGGCATTTTTACCACTATCTTCTTTTGCTTCACCCTCGACGCGGCCTCCAACTTCGCCCATGCTGATGGAAAGCTCGAGGTTGCAAAGAACCTCATGAAAGCTGCCGGTGTCTTTGGCTTTGTCTCCGGTCTCTTGGGATATTACAGCTGTGCAGCCGCTATGTGCGCTGATGCACTTCCATTTGAGCTGCCTTGCGGGGACACGTCAAGATTCTTTAAGAAGATTCGCAAACAATTGTAACTATTTGTTGGTCTGTGTCATTCATACTCACATGCCCCTGAGTTCTCCAATCGTCCGTAAATATGCCTCAGGGTGAGGCGAATCGATCCAATCGAATTGAGGGACATTTTGAAATCCCAACGCCTTGAGAAGTAAGACTTGGCCATCATGATACATCGCTCATGTGAATGCCAGCGGGGGTGTTGCTGGTCATTCCGAGGTCGTGGAACTCTTTGGTGTACAGGCGAACGCATTCGCCGGGCTGGGTTCGCCCAGCGCGTCCTGCTCGCTGTCGTGCAGCGGCTTTTGATATGGGAGCAGTGGACAGCGTATTCATGCCTACTCGGTAGTTGACCCTCGCCTCTATCTGCTTCCCACAATCTGACACGGAATGTTAGATAAATCTATCCATACGGGAACATCTGAGCAGTGTAGCACATACCAATGACATACGTAATGCCTGGGATCGTCAAACTTGCCTCGGCAACATTGGTCGAGACAATGCATACCTGTCTGGTGGAACCACCAGTAGCCAAATCTTGGGCATGCTTGGGGAGTGAAGAGTACATTGGGAGTACCTTCAAACCTCGCACTTCCCGTCGAATCATGGCACAGGCCTTCTCAATATCCCGCACCGACGTTAAGAACACAAGGATATTTCCTTTGCGCTTGTTGGCAACAAATTGTCTGACCAACATCACAGCGGCCGAGTCGTAACAAACTGGTGGCTCCTGGACATGCTTGATTTTGAGGGCGTTAAACTGTCGTTTTGTCTCGAAAACATTTTGAGTACCAAAGTATTGACAGAACTTCTCGAGGTTGATAGTGGCCGACATGATGACGACTTAGGATATGTGTTAGGACTGAGACAAACGCGGAGTAGACTGAGCAAACCTTAAGGTCCTTTCGCTTTTGAATGAGCTTTTTGAGAAGCGCAAGCAGCATGTCGGTATTGGCTGTTCGCTCGTGAGCTTCATCTATCATGATACAGGCCTGGTGGTGTTAGACGAAAGGCGCGTAGAATAGTATAAAAAACATACATATTTGGAGAAATTGGTGTCGCCAGCATATTGCTGGAGTAATAGGCCATCTGTAACGAATCCAAGACGCGTAGAGCCTGAACTTTTGTTGTCGAATCTGACTTTGTACCCGACAATACCGCCCAGAGGCACGTCCAATTCTTGAGCAACACGGGTTGCGACACTGGTTGCTGCCACTACTCGTGGTTGGGTACAGGCCACACGTAGGCCGCTTGCCCACTCGTCAAATAACACAAATTGCGAAACTTGTATTGTCTTACCCGACCCCGTATCACCCACTACAATGGTGACCTGAAAATGGTTAGTCAGTCAGCTATTCAATTTTCCTTACTGCTGCACCTGAAGGAGGCAAAACTTCAAGTTGAGATTGGAAGAATATCAAGCTAAGCATGATGTAGCTATAGGTAGGATATAAATCACTTACTTGCTCCGAGTGGTACTTGTCAAGAAACTCTTGTCGCTGGGAGCGAACTGGGAGCTTCTTGCATCGATCTTCGTGGATTTGGAGATACTCCTTGGTGTACTCCTTGTTCTCGAAAAAAGGGTTCATTTTGCCGTCTTCGATAGCGGCGGCCTCGGCGGCTGTGGCCTCATTTCTTTTGAGACTGTTCATTTTCTCCATTGTCTTGGTTGGTGGTTGGTGATGTGTTGGTGTTGGTGGTTGGTGATGTGTTGGTGTTGGTGGTTGGTGATGTGTTGGTGTTGGTGGTTGGGGATGTGTTGGTGTTGGTGGTTGGTGATGTGTTGGTGTTGGTGGTTGGCGATGTGTTGGTGTTGGTGGTTGGTGATGTGTTGGTGTTGGTGGTTGGTGATGTGTTGGTGTTGGTGGTTGGTGATGTGTTGGTGTTGGTGGTTGGTGATGTGTTGGTGTTGGTGGTTGGTGGTTGGTGTTGGATGTGGTTGGTGATAGTTGCGTGATTGCGGATGTGAAAAGCTCTTTGTGTGCGTTACCACGTGACTGGATGAACCGAAGATTTCAAGGGAAAAGTTACCTACCTACCCATTTACCATGCCATGCATTGGTACCTAAGTACATAGGCAAGGTGGCCAGCTGTGAGCAGTGTCATCATTCAATCACGGACTTTGACCCCACTACACACAATTGCACTGCGCTCGACATTCTGTTGTAGTGTCTAAGTTGTTGCAGGAGTGTCATTTGCAGATTTGACAATGGTAAGCCCTGCAAACTATGCGTTGAGTGGACATTCCACCAACCAAACTTCGTGTTAGGGATGCCGTAAGGCAAGCAACAAGAAGGCAACCATTCGTCTCATGGCGCACTCACTAACTCAAACTCTTCATATGGGATGCCGTGAGGCGGAGTATCTAGTCTTCGACCAGAATGAACGTATGGGCTGACGAGAAGAAAAAGGCAGTCGATTTAAGCCTTGCCCTGTATCAAGGGACGTCGTGGTAAGTGATTCGTGCTTGTGGGGGAACGTGTTTGGTGAAAGCTCATGTTCCGAATCATGTTCGTCAAGCTCACAACTTCGAGGATGCCTTGCAAATCCCAAGATATGCTCCGATGAGGCGGAAGTCGTTGGACTTTTTGTGATAATTGCTGCGCCCTCAAGAGGGTTTCTTCGTCTTTTTCATGGCGGGGGTCTTCAGCTTGACGCGATGCTCGTCTGGGGTCGGACCTGGGGAGTCGGAAAGCGAATGTTCCTGCATTGATGAGCAAAGAGTCGAGTGAACGAGTCAAGTACATACAACATGCCACTCTAGCTGGACAGCTGCTATAGCCCGTACAGATGTTCAACGCCAGCATAATTCGCGGCTCACTCGCGGTTCATCCTAGACTTTCTTGCCAGATCGCCCATCGCCAACAATGATCGTGACCTGGGAGGGGCTGATCAAGTACTGGTTCATTGTCAGCTTCAGAAAGCGGAAGGGATTGAACGGAGTGGAAAGTCAGATGAATAGAGAGACCGCAGTCTAAGGCGTGAAGATATGGCCACGAAGTGAGAACAAGAAGGGGAGCGACGTACTTGCTTTGACTGATACTTGTCAAGACACCCTGCCATCGGGAACGGATTGGCGTCAATCTCAGCAGGCCTCGATGGGAGTTTTTGTTCTGGAGACTCTTTTTAAAGGAAAAGAATTCACCTTGCCATCACCGATGGCCGAGACATCGGAGGCAGTCTCTGAGTTGCGGTTGTTGAGGTTGCGGTTGAGGTTGCGTTTTTGGTTGGCTGGTGCAGTTGTGATGGAGATGAAATATTTGGCCTCGCTTTGTGCGAGGGCTTCTGCAAGCGCTCACGTGATAAGTTTGAAGGCCTTTTGTCATTATCGCAGCTCTCTGACTTCGGGTGTGGTGGTGGGCAGTTGCTGGCACTGCAGCTCTTTCGAGGTGTGACGAGGGTGATTGGGAGCTTGTTAATAATTCTCGATCGTTCCTCAGCCTTTCGATACCACACAGCTCGCTTTTGCTCCCCTGAAGGGTCTTTTAGATCGCTCTGAAATTGCCCTGTTGGGTAGGTGCGATGGCAGTACCAAAGCCCTAATCTTGAACACACGAAACATCAGAGGCGCACGGTAAGGTACCTTAGTCTCATCTCGCGTCCTCTCTATACATTCCCCTACTGTAATAAGAAAATGGGAGCGATACTGCTAAGAGGCAAGGTGCAGCCAAGTGTCAGTCCCCGTCTGAGAAAGCTGAGGCTGCAGGTGATGGCAGTCTTAATTACCATCAAGCTAGTGGGCAAGGAACCTTTCTGGTGATCAGAGCGATCGTGATGGTGCAACCGAGTGAGCGTAGGATCTCGCTATCAGCATCAGTCAACTGAGTCTTGGTTATGGATTTGTCCAAGACAAGACTTCGCTTTATGGCGACCTCACTTGCTGAGCACCCCGAGAAAATCATTCACAACCTCGACATTATGTCTTCCTCCCTCAAAAATGAGTTCGATCGGTTTGCACACTGAATCATGCGGGAAGAATAAGTAGTTGGCCAACAATAGCGCCCTAGATAAGAAAAAACAATAGCACGCAAAGGAATCATACGTGTACAAGAACAACAAGGGCACGATTGCAGTACTTTTATGGGATGTAACCTCTCAGCCCAACAAGAAGGAGGAGTGGGGAACTAAAACGGTATATTCTAAGTATACAGAGTCTCGAAGGCGTGAGCCGTTCAAAGAATACCAGAAGCGAATGACCACAAATGCTCCCAGTCTTGCTGGAGGGATGCCGTAAGGCTCTTGTACCTGTGCGCGTATGTAACGGTGATGGTTGCTCTGGTATGAGGCAAAGTGAGTTTCCGAGTGAATTGAAAGCAGTATGCCGCATCATGTTGGGTGCTGTGAGGCACAGGAAAGAAGAAAAGAAAATGTTTGGTGACTCGCACAAGCGAAAAGACACGTCGCAATCAAGAAGGGGTCGCATTGAAGGTCGAGGATTGTATCTTCGGAAGATTGGAAGCCTTCAGGCAGTCCGAAAGATCAGTTGCTGACAATGAGAGACTCAAAATGTTGGATTGACCCACGCGAATGGAGGTGGACGCCGTCTGGCGATGATGTTGCCATTGGTGGTGAGCCCGTTGGGCAACCGTGTTGGCGAGAAACTGAAGCCAGTATGAGGAGCGAGCCTGACAGACCAATTTGAGCATCACCAGGAATGGATAGTCATTCTGCCTCCATAAACACTACCATGACTTCGAAATGCTCTTGGCCACTCGTAACTTAGTTGCTCTCGCCAGTCTCTTCACCCCAGAGCTTCTCATGCACGGTTTTGAGCTCGGCGGCCCTCTCCTGCATGGCTTTGGCTGAATCGTCACTGTGATGAACGACCTCTTCATTTCCGTCGTCATCCACAAGTCTCATTGGCTTAGCGACTTTGTTTCGCCAATCAGGGTCATACTGACTGATCCAAGACTCACTCACGGCTCGGCCGTTGACTTGCCATTTGTAAAACGCATCATAACCACCCCAATCAGCACACACTCCCTCTGGCGCAGGGAACCACGGCAGTGATGGCACCCAGCCATCATATTGATGCGCGGCTGGGGCTACAACTTCGATCTTCTTGGTCTCCAATTTCCCGTCGACTTGGCGTTCAACTGAAAGTGTGACCTTCGTGCGATTGTCCTCGACGCTGTTCTGTGCAGAAAGTTGACGAACACGAAACCGAATGTGTCCATCAAGCATTGGTCCTTCGACCCAAGCCATGTTGTCACCGGTACAAGAGCGCTCTATCTCACGGGAGATGATGTTGGCTGTATCTTTGTAGGGCACGGAGGCTGTGAGGACGTCATTGATCTCGTCGGCCATGCGATGGTCCTCGTCCATTGTCGGGACTGTGCGCCTTGCTCTGGGAAACCATTGCACCCAGCCATCGGATTCATAGGCGGCTAGGTCTTCAAATTTGATCCTCTTCGTCTCCAATTTCCCATCGACCTGACGTTCCACATAAACTCCGATCATTTTGTACACTGCCTCCACGCGAGCCTAGAGAACTCCACCAACGCCCACCACTCGATCGGGAGTGCTTGTTGACTTGGGGACGGCGTCAGCCTAATGATTGACCTGGTAGGAGCTTTCGAGAGATGTATTATCCAAGGCCTATTGAGATGTTAGACATGATTGTGATTTCGTTTATTGCAACACTGACCTGTGCGACTTGCGCGACCTGCTCGATATCGGCATCGACGGAAGACGGGATTTCTCATGGAATCTCAGTATGGCCTGGCTTTTGAGACTCAAGATTTACTCACGTCTTGATCGGAGATTGAGTTGAATGGTGTTGAGAAAGAATTTCCTAAGCAGATATTTTGCGTGCTGGGGAAGCTGAGATACGAAAGTTGTGAGTTGGGGCGAGTGTGAAATAAAATCGGCAGAACGACAAAGATAAACCAGAATTGGAAGGGACCCACAATGAAGTGCATTAGGAATAATTTGCTCAAGTGTGTCATTAGCATTGGCATTGGCATTGGCACTGACTGGCAGCAGCTACCGGCAGGTGTGACGCGTTACCGTGCAATCTACAGATGCCTGCCTGCAAGTACAACGCGTGCTTCAGAGAACTTCCCATCGACTACCGGGGCTTCTCTTTCTTCATGATTCCATAGCCAAAGCGCTGCAAAAGCCTCGCAACAGCAGTACAACAAACACAAAAGCCTGCGATCGACTCACAACGTTACGTCCTTTCAGCGCTCCTTTTGAGACACTGGAAAACAAATTCATTTTATGATTGTTGGTAAGAGGCTCTGCTTCGGCATCGAAGCCTTCGCTTATTCGTACTGACAACCAGCAGTGGTGGCAAATTGAAGAGACATGGATCAGATTCCAAACTCCTTATTCGAAGAAGGCCGACTCGCCTTTTTGGGCGGTATTCCCCTCGATGCCGAGAAGCAGGAGGTAGAAGCCTTCGTTCATGATCAAGGCTTCGACAGTGCAGTGCTGCATTGACCAACGGAGTGGCTTGAGCCCAGTGGATGGAATCACCAGGGCTATTGCATCGTCGAGTTCACCTTGCAAACCGAGGCAAAGGAGGCAATCAAGAGACTACCAGATTGTGCTTTCAAGGACAAGTATCTACAGACAAAAATCCCCCAGCGTCGCAACGTAAGTACCTACTGCGCTTCTGGAATGCTTATCTAACAGTTTCCAGCAGCCAACTTCCCAATCAATCACTTCGAAGCTTCCTGTCGAGGCGGAAGCCATCCCCACCGATGCCGAGGCCGTCACCACCGCGACGGAGCCCGAGCCCTCGTTTGAGTCACCTCCTGTCGAGCCGCCCTCGTCGGACCCTTTCGCCGCACAAATTTCACTGGTAGACGACGTCAGTGCTGGATATAAGGCCATTCAGGAGAGGATCCGAAAAGACTTGCAAGAGCTGAAGTACCCTGAGGCGTATGCTTGCTCCGAGCACTGGTCCAAAAGTGACGTTGAGAACGCGGTTATCGGAAGGATGTTGGAGCGTGAGAAAGAAGATGGCGCCCCGGGCTCTCTTGTGGTGAAACACAATGGCCGCTTTCGCATTCGCTCACGAGTCTTCCCCTCTCCTTATGATGACGATATCAAGGGTGATTCTACCATCTGGATCCATGTCACAAAGCGTGAGTCAGATGGACGAAAGATGAAGATCATCGCTCTGTCTGAACTTCCTCTTTACGAAGAGGACGGATGGCAGGAGTGGTTCAAGGGCAATGTGTCGGCAGAAGAGAGTACTGGCGATGAACAGCACCATGTCTCCACTGTTGGGGATATCAACGCACCAGATGGTCCCAAGCAGGACACTCTCTAGGTGTTTGATATGGCAGCCGGCATTCGCCAATAGGCTGACGCCATTCACAAGAAACCCGGTCACGTACTGGGAGCGGCCAGCTGGGAAGCTCTCGTGTCAAATTCAAAACCGTTTATACCGCATAATGTTTCTATTAGCGTTATTCCCTCTGATGCCTTACGAGATTATCGCAATTGCGACAGTTGACTGGCAAGACTCCGTTGGCCTTCAGAAAGTTCTGCTGGAAACCTTGTTCTGTGCCAACGGACAGATGTCAAAGCTGTCATCATTTGGCACTCATGCTAGAGTAAATAGAGGTAACAAGTGCCTAAATACACAAATACAAAGTGTTTATCTTAAACAGTCAGGGCCCATGGAATACTCGTTGTTCCTTCAAGCTCGAGCGTTGCTATTCCTCAATCATTTTATCACAAACAGCCAAGAGCGAGATAGATCTTCTGGTCTCTGCATGTCTGAGGCAAGAGCTGTGATATTTTATAATACTACCATATTCAGAACTCAAATACTCCCAACCAGCAAAGTTTGAAGCACATTCCTTCTGATACTCCTCCCCTTTCAGTGATTGCGGCCGCAGAAAGAGTTTTGACTGTTTACATTCTGGTATCCCACGCTGACATGACCATTGGAATTATCCCAACGTGCCCAGCCTGCCTTGAAAGTGCCGCATCGGCTGCTCACGCTTTCCTGGATCTGCTGGCGAACAATCGTTGCACTGCAAGTGGTTCTTCCGGAGGTGTTGTTGCAAAAGTAACTGGCCACCCTACCCGAGATAACGTAGTAGTGATCACGTGGCTGCACAGTGTGACCGCTCCCGCATCCGTCCCTCAACAGCTTGACTGTGAGGTCGGCGTCATTGCGGTTGAGTGAGGAGCCCTCACACGTGACTCGCCAGCTCTGGCGCTTGTCCAAGGCCGACGAAGTGTCATCGCCTTCGCCTGTCGGCTCAAGGTTCATGTCAACCTTGGTATGATGGGCAACCCCATCGTCGTCGATATGAACCCGGTAAAATCCGTCTGGAGTATCCTCAGGGATAGTGAAGCCCTCCTCCAAGGAGGCTCCAGGTACGTCGAAGCGTTTCATGAGCCTCGATTCCTCGGCCTGGGGTACGGCGAGCCCAAGGGCTGATGAGGAGAGAAGTGCCGGGACGATAATGGAGAAGTGCATATTGACTAGTAGGTATTCGGAGAAAGGCTGCGGTTCAGAAAAGAAGTTGTTTGAAACTGTGAGATGGTTGAGCTTGCTGTAGCTTTCTAGCTGAAGTCCTTCCCTCCTATTTATACATTTCTCAAGGCCGCAGTCATCGCGGACTTGAAGGCGGATCCAATATGACACGGGACGTTAAGCCTAGGTACGCAAACATAGCAATACCTGCCTTTTCCTCCCAATATGTTGAGGCCCCCAATTATGTACGGTGATGGAACATGGACATCATGTTTTCTCGTGGCACAAAATGCACAGCAGAGGGGCAAATCCATGAGGTTTTACGGCGCTCTGATATTCAGACCAAGAACAGAAATCGCCGCCTACATAAGAAGGCCACTTTGCTGTCCAGCAGGTAAGCGAACCAATCGTTACGACACGGGACCTTGATGCCTTTCGTATATGTGGCTGGAATAGGAATTGCCAAGAATCACAAAGCGCAGAAAGTGTTACGGGGCCTTCAGCATCCGAGAAGCAGAGCGTCATGTGGTACTCTAGACCCCTGGAACGCTTTGATGCAACTGCGATCTGTAAAAAAAAGGCTGACAGTGGATCGCTAAAGGGAGAGATCCAATAGGAATGACTCTGCTGTGCCATTAGAGTGCTACCGCGGCTCGTTCACGGCAGGGCCAAGCATCGAATACAGCACAAAGCCAGGTGGCCTAGAAAATTGAGTCCTGGCGAGAAACAGTTCAACGTTGGCTATCATAGGCTGAGAAGCATGTAATATAACACAGATTGGGGAAAATCCCTCAAAAATGTGGCGGGAAACTCCTGATGTCAAAATGATGCGCCAAAATTCATCATCAGATGCAACCGAAACACATGCTTTAGCGCCTGTGCAATTCCCACCATGGCTTGCCCGGGTATGCATGTTTGTGTTTTATCAAAACCATCTAAATCTAAAGCTTTGTTAAAATGTTTTCCCCTAATACATTGATATACTTTTTGTATTCCTGCAAACACCCTGGGTTACTGATAGCGCTAGTATTCTTTACCTCTTGATGCGATACTATGCTCTTTACTGCACTCTCAACCTTCTTGCCGCTCAGTGTATACGGGATGTCTTCCACTGGGAATATATAAGCAGGTACATGCCTTGGGCTCAACATTGTCCTTATCGCGTCGCGAATCTTCGACAGTAACGGGTCTTTGAGCATGTTCTTTTCTCTCATCTTAACAAAAAGAAGCACCTGCTCATCCCCATCTTGATGCCGTCGGTGCCCAACGGCAATGCAGTCGTCCACTTCGCTGAATTTGTCAAGGACACCATATAGCTCAGCAGTGCCGAACCTAACTCCTTAACATTGTTAGTTACCACTAGTATAGCAAGATGTAGAAGGGGATGTAGGTACTTACCACCAGGATTTAGGACACCATCACTGCGACCGTGAATTAGATAACCTTTGGTCTTGTTCGTTCTGGAGACAAAGTCGCCATGAGTCCAAACGCCGGGAAAAGTATCGAAATATGCCTTGCGATATTTTTCCAGTCCTCCTTTGCCCCAAAATGTTACTGGCATGCTAGGAAATGGTTTCGTAATAACCAATTCCCCTTCTTGCCCAGACTCCTCGATGTTATGCCCAGTCTGGTCCCAGATCTCGACCTTCATCCCAAGGGTCGCTGCAGCAATCTCGTTACCATGTACACGGGATAGAACGTTGGAACCAATGACTATCAGACTTAGTCAACTTTCAGACTCCTTGCACAATTTAGGTGTTGAATACTTACTACATCCAAGCATATCTGTGCCTCCCGAACCATTGAACAGACCGACGCTGCGCGGGAAGACTGTGTAGAACCAGTCACAGATTTCGGCGGAGAGAGCCGAGCCTGATACAAGTACGACCTGCAAGCTTGAGACTTGTGGTGTTAGACCATGAAGGTCTCGCATCAACGTCCCCAGAAATTTTGGACTCGTGCCCCAGTGCGTAATACTAATGATGATGACATGGTCAATATCCACAGATCACATAGAACTAACGTGCCAAGAAACGCTCGATACGTACCCTTGCTCTTCAAGAAAGCGTAGTTGTTGAGAGCTTTTCGGATGCAACGGGCTTCCGTCATATAGAACTATTTTGGAACCCAAGCTCAGAGCTCCAACAAGGACGTTCCACATCATCCACCCAGTCTGTGCAAGGTTATTGGTGTCGTTTCTAGCGGGATCAATATGAGACACTTACTGTAGTGTACTGATAGTAGGTTGAGTGAATTCCAAGGTCCATCCCTAACATAAGATCGATCTTGTGTTTCAACAGTGCTCCTCCCCCAGAGTGACATATACCTAAGCGTTAATTAGCCTCGTTCTTGTCATATCTGAGACCTAGGTGTTGTATAGCTGGAGGATAAGAGCTTGAGCCTAACCTACACTTTGGCGGGCCAGTAGTGCCAGAGCTATTGAGAAGTTAATATTTTGTGGGAAGCTTTGGGGTCACTTCTTACGAGTATAAGATATAGACTGGAAACTCAAATGGAAGTTGTTCAAATCGAAGAGGTTCTGATGGAACACTTAAGAATTTCTCGAGGGACACCCTAGATTTGTTAGCATATTCCAATAAGCCTTTTTAAGAAGCCGCCGGGCATGCTATAACTCACAAGGTGTTGTCTTCCCAAACCGGACCGCTGATAACAATATTATCAAGCTCGGCAACCTGTTCCCTTAGGTCCTTTACCACAGTCTCTAATTTCCTTCTTAAGTCTCGTGGCTTTCCCCCATAGAGAATACGAGTCTCAGCGAACAGGAGCTTTGGGCGGGACTGCGTGTACCTGTCCAATATTCCCCGCGAACCCATCTCTGGAGATGCCGAGGAGAAAATAGCGCCGACGGCCCCACATGCAAGCAGAACAAGTACAGCTTCGATAGAGTTTGTCATGACAGCTCAGTGAAGTTAGCGACTGCTTATGGGGAATTGAGATAATCTTGGTCCTTACCAGCTACGCGGTCTCCCGCTCTGATACCCGCATGTCTCAATGCACAAGCATATTGAGCAACCTGCTGCTCCAGCTGCTTCCATGTCAAATGTTTCCATTGCGTGCCACCTTCACGACACGCTGACACGGCTATTTTGTCAGGATGAGCAGCTAAGCCAACGGCAAGCAAGTTTTCGGTAAAGTTAAGCCGGGCTCCAGTAAACCACTCTGGCCGGGGCCAGAGCGTTGAGCTATCGCTGACGATATTTTTAGGTGGTTCAGAGTATGTAAAGCCACATAAGTTCCATATTTCCTGGTAGAAGGGCTCAATGTTGTCCACGGACCACGTTTGCAGCTGCTCGTAGTCAGCTAGGTCTAAGCTGTATTTCGCATTGACGTGTCTTCGGAAGGCATCGAGCTGCGTCAATTGAGTGCTCGGGTGGCTCCAGCTTTCCATTGCAGTAGTTGTATGGTCCTGAATAGAATAAAGATGTTAAATGAGAGGTTGATCGGGGATGTGAATCAATGCCGGGGTGATGGCGGTTGACAAACTTATGATTGGATCTGATCTTATAGCCGTAGCATGCACATTGGCGTATCTGGGTATTGAAGACGGTTAGGCCGAAAATTGGAAAATACCAAACTTCGTCCTCCGGAGAAACCTGAACGTGGGGAAGTTCCTCCGAGTTGAATAGGTTCCTCCAGGAGGTTAGAAATGCCCCACGCCGGGAACTCGCAATTCGGAGTAATTCCACAACTTTAGCGCCATCATTACCGAAGACACATCTGTATGAGAAATCCGAGTCTATCGTGGCTTAAATTCTTCCTAGAAATTAACAGAAAAGGGGCTGAGAGAAAGGTAACTAACTATCTAGTAAAGTGACACCTGTTGTACCATTCGACTTCAACAATTGTTTTGCAACGACAAATGGACTCCACCGACGTTATTATTGTTGGCGCAGGACCGTCTGGTCTTGCCCTCGCCCTTGCTCTAAGTGACCAGAAGATCAAAGTAAGTTTTCTTCCCTTTGATACAAGGTAGCTGTTTATCTCTGGGTACTAACTGCACAAAGTCGGTCCTTTTGGAGAAGAACATTGAGATATGCGAGGATCCACGGGCAATTGCTGTTGCAGGTGATGCCCCTCGCATTGTCAACCTGCTTGGCATCAACGCATTCAAAATGGACAAGATTGGCCAAAGTGCGTCAAAGCATATTCCCCTCCGATGCAGTTGACCTTGTCGTACAGACTCTAAACTTGATCGTAACTGTAGCTATGACCGGTATTCATTTTCACCAAAACACCTTCTCCTCGAAACCGTTTGCTAGTATCGACCATGAGCGTGACTGGCTTGAACAGGCCCAGGCGCCAGGGACTGTTCTCTTGCAGCCCGAACTTGGTAGGATTTGCGCAATCATTATGAACTACATATAACCGTTACTGATAGCTGAATAGAAAAGCACTTTCGCGACTCTATACAGACTTCGAAGTACGCGGAGCTGAGACTGGGAAGCCTGGTGACAGAGATACGCGAAGTGCCTGGTGGGATTCTGGCGAGCTACCGACGTAAAGATGGCAAAGTGCTTGAAATACAAGGGAAATACTTGGTCGGCGCTGATGGCAAGCGTGGATACGTCCGCAAAGAATATTTAGAGGCAAAGGGGATACAACAACTACCTGGATTGTATACTTCTTTCCATCCGACTTTTGCAACACTTATATTCAAAGGCTAACCGCAATATCTAGGTACACATACGAGGCGACTTGGATTGCAGCCAATCTGCGTATTACACTACCAACACCCACGTCGCACCCAGCATTTCCACTTTGGAAGCTTGGATACCATCCTGAGCAGCTATGGGACATTTTCTGGCCTGATGGATTTCAGTAGGATATCCTTTTCAAAGATTGGACATGGTAAAAAGAACTTTGGCAGCTGATCATGCACTACTTAGTTTCTGCACTCACCCGACAATGCCCATCGCCGCAGGTCGATTTGGACCTAGACACGAGAAATTTTGGAGGTAGGTTTGACACTTAAATTGTTCCCGAAAATGCCCGTAAAAGCTTACTGATACCAACAGGTTTGAATACGAATTGCCCTCAGGTTTCCTTCCCGATGACTGCATTAAGCATCTCGAAGAGCAAATGAGAGCTCACTTAACTATCAAAGGAGAACTACTCAGGTATCGAAACATAATTCCCATCCGTCTTTAACATATCATAGTACTAACAAGTCGAGAAGTCGCAAAGGTATGGTTCTATATGAACCAGTCGTCTTTCCTTGGGATTGTGTGGAGGTATTGCGTTGTGCGCCCGCCAAGTACGTTTCTATATATTTTTGCCTCCTACCTCGTCGCAACCCGAGTCTCTCTCTTCCTTTATCTTCATGTTGTGCGTGCGGCCAAGAACTTGATGAAACCACGCGCAACACATACTAATGCAATCATCATTTATGTTGGAATCAAAACTGATCACCATCATTCTGTTACAGTTTCTCTCAGAAAGTTGTCAACAGATGGTTCCATGGCAATATTTGTGTCATTGGCGACGCAGCCCATGTGTTTCCTCCTTTCGGCGCTCAAGGAATCGCAAGCGGCCTACGAGATGCTTTGGGTCTGTCATGGAGGCTAGCCCTGCTTTGTAACCCACAATCATCTCTGCAGACTTCAGCGCACCGTGATCACCTGCTTGAAGGGTGGTCGCGAGAGCGTCGAAGGGGGGTGGACGATTCAAGTATTGTCACTCAAAGAAGTGGCAATGTCCTTCTTAGCAAGTCTCATTCTCTCGTGCAGTTGATGAGAATTATTAGTGGAGGGCTCGACCTTCTACCATCGTTTCGAGACTTGATGTTGAAGTCAGTATTGAGTGATCGGGATGGTTACCGCGGGGTAGACGGCGGGTTCTTTCTCGAGAGACAAGGTGGAGGTGGGAAGACTGCTCAGGTATGTGTACGAACGACCAACAACCTCGCTCGCCTATCAGATGAGGTCTTCTGGGGGCAAGGTGGCGTGCTCACCCTGCTCCTGTTGTGCCAGCCCAGTGAAGAAGAAGCTTCAGCCTTGAAGAACGTACTTGAGGATGCTAACTTGCCACTTTGGTTGTTATCTGAGCATATTTTGGAATTTTATGTGGATGACCAAGTTGGAAACATGAAGTCAACCTTGGGCTTCAAAACCAAGAAGCTTTATCTTGGCACCACAGAGGACACGGTCAAGACGATGGGTCAGCCTCTGCTCCCCTTTTACAATCCTGCTTCTTTCCGGGCTCGTTTTGGGGCTGCGACCCGTTATGCTCTGATTCGCACCGATCTTATTATCTTCTCTCAAGCTGAGAGCCCAAAGCGACTGGGATCACAACTTCACAACGCCGTTGCAATACTGAGCCGCAAGTGAATGAAATGTGGTGGAACTAGAACTAAGTTGTCTCTGCTGATTTAAGCTCTCAGCCACAAGTCTCAGCTGAACCCTGTTTTAAATAGCATGCTTGGCGTGTCAGAGCAATATAATAGACAATTCACTTTACTGAAATGGAGGAAACCGGATTATTAAAAGGTTTCTTTTGCAATTATAATAGTAATGTTCAAGAACTGCGGTGAGTACATTGATATTCGTATATGAAGGTTCTCATGATGCAGTACAAAATGTTCCGGAAGTGAGCGATCTGAGGACAAAGATAGAGACACAAAATAGTAGAGAGCAGGACTACATGTTAGCGAGCTGAGAACGATCAAAATGCTACTTAGAATGTTGAAAATACACCCGTCAGATCCGAACCATCGTGGATCTTCCCCAGGGACTCAAAGTCCAACTGGTCGAACCACTGGGAATTCAAAAGTTCGGTATCCATGCTATCTAGCAATGCACTGCTCGTATGGTTGCTTAATATCACCGTCTTTACTTCTGAGGCATGGATCGACAAGGCACCATCCGAGGGACGGGAAGGTGAGTCGACAGGCTTGGTAGCAATAGACGAAATTCCTCCGTTGAACGGGCTGGTAAGACGGAAAAGGTAAGCCAAAGCTTCCCTATAGCCCGGAATCCGCGTTTTCAGTGTAGCCATCAACGACTTGAAGGCATCTGTAGGTTAAAAGTTTAGGTTGGCAATCTTAAACGTATATCTCCATGTATGACATACCTGAGAGATGATGTGCTACAATACCGTACATTATTAATGCTTGAACTTTGAGCGGACAATGACGGCTATCACTCACCCACTGGCCAATTAAACGCCATTTGGTCGAGGAACAGACTCAGAAGATCAAGATCTTCATTTGAACGAGTGGGGTCAGATTCACTCCCGCCCAAGAATTGGTGATTGTGTGCAATGACAGATGCGGCGAGGTATACTATGTATGAGCACATTGGGTCAACAGCTCGGAAGTAACTGGGCTTCCAATTCTGGATTAGCAACACGACTTCATTCGCCTTGACTAAAATCGCGTGCCATTGCCCTTGCAGCTCATGAGGGCCCAGCCATGTGCCTCGGCTACTTATCTTTGCAGCACATATTGCAAGTAGGATATTTGCGCTATTGACCAGGTGGGAATGAGTACTATGTTTTTAGCTGCGGACATTGGGACTCGACTTACCCAGACCAAACAAGAAGCGTATCTAATCGCCGCTGATGCTCCTCCTCTGTCTCTGCCAATACCAGGTTACGGGTAGCATTGAAGAACCAAGGAGGAAGTGCAAAGGATGTCGCCGTACAGTCGCTCTCAAGCTCTTGCAGTCGTTTGTGTAAGTCCTTACAATGGCCACGATTCGAGAGAGATCGGAGATCAGTCACAGAGCGCATTAAATTAGATGCTCCAAAATAAAGATTCCGACTACTGCATGGATTTTCTGAGTAAATCATCCTCATGATCTCCCAGTGCTTTACTCCAGTGCAGGGGATGAGCTGCAACTTGTCCTTAGGAGTTGAAGAGTCACCCGAGAGTGAATTGGTGAAGTCTGGTATTGACACTGCCGGTAACTCAACTCTTCCTTGTAGGCTACTCGCAGTCGCGGTTGAGGAGGATCTGGCACTTTAGTGTCAGCATACGAGACCCAGGTGCCGTACGACCAGGCGCAAAATTAGGACTTACGCAAGAGCACTGCAAATGGTGTCAAGGGAGTAGATACACCACCAAACACTTTTCCAGTCCTCAGTGTCGCGGTACTTGTCAGTTTCATGTTCTAGGCTCTCCTGACTCACAGACAATGTCTCGTCCCCAGAAGCCAATATAATTGTATCTTCGTGGTCCTTTTCGTACTTCAGTGTATAGTAGAGTTCTGCCATTCGGCTGATTCGTGCAATCTCAGCCACTGTCTCCCAATTCAAGGATTCAGACATGCCGTGTATACAAAGTAGCAAAGATGCTTTGATTTCATCAATGCCGAGATCAGAGTCTCTTTCGCTGTTTTTCGCCTGCTGGGCAAATTGCACCGATGATATTGGCCCTTTCAGGACTCCAGGCCCTGCAAATCGTGAAGCAACTGCATGGATAGCTAACTTGAGTCGGGAAGGAGCTTTTGAAATGTCACGACTTGAAAGGGTTGAATGTCTCCGGAACAGAGGGTAGATTGGCTGTAGGTGTTGAAAGTACAATTCCATCCTAGGTAGTTTCATGAATGTCAGCCCACTCTCATTATTTGGCGCGCCGGGAGCATGCGGGAGACGCACAAATAATCTTCAAGCTCAGGGCCAAGATGCAGACAATTTTCGGGAAAGGACTGGCTGGGCGAGATGTATAAGCGAGGTGTTGTGACTGCACTATCACGGCAGGGTCCTTGTGCTGCCATGACATTGTCAAAGCAAGGCGGCGTGACCATGTTGCTGTCAGCGGTTATATCATCCACAATCTCACCATACACACCAGCCTCACGGGTACCCAATGAGGAAGGGAAAAATGACCCAGATGTAAATGTTGTAGAGGCCGATAGCCTACCATCAGAAACACGTCTTACCTTCCTATGGCATCCTTTTGGGGGCCCTATCTCGTCATGACAAAGGTTAGCTGCCTGGGTGACATAGAAACATAGGTGCAAAGCGAGGGCCTACCGGGCTTCTTTCTTCGCTTGCTATAAGTACAATCTGTATGACGGGACCTGCAAGTTCCACAGACCGGACGGACCATGTCGCCTGGTTAGAATGCAATTTTGTAAGCCACCACGCTAACGAAGATGTCAAGTGCTTAATCTCGGAAGAATTGGTGCTTATAACGTACATCTGGTCTTTTTCCTGTACCTCAGGTGTCATGTGAGCATTGAAAAGCGACTGATTCGATAGCCAGGGCACTCACGTTCTACAATGATCGCAGACACGAAACCCAACAGTGTCAGGTTGGTGAGGAACTGAATGGCGGCTTGGGGAGCCATGATTGGCTGGGGAAAGATCCGACATTTCGTCTCTGAGGTCGAATTTCTTAACTTGTGGCGAGGTTTGGGACCTCAATGTAGTATGTCCTGTGTCTTGTTTGCGTCTTGCTGAAGACGAGCGGGGTTTGGAAGTGGCGTGGAAGTTTATTTAAGAGGAAAATATGTACAGTAGCTAGGAAGTAACAAGCTCACTAACGTCTTCCCCGCAAAAGAGGTCTCAATTCCCGAGGCTAGAGCTTCTCCACAGATCTGCATCAACCTATAACTACGCCGTTCCGATTGGCCCATGGTTGTCAAAGTTGATGCCGGGTATAGGGTCACTACCCTGGAGCTGTGATTCGTGTCTGCACCGGAAGTCCCGGGGACCGACCAGCCACCCTGCTTCCTTTCCTACTGTAGCTGCAGCTGAACATGTTTACTCTCTGATTGTGCTTTATTGGACAGTCTCATTATCTGTAGCAGGTGTTGCTCCCTCATTTCGGCCTATTGGCTCGAGCTAATCTTATCGAGGCCTCCTTCTAGCTAGGTAACTGGCTCTGGAACCCTGCTAGCTAACTTGTATTGAACGTCGGGCAGAGTAATAAAACCCGTCTCTGTCACGTAGTAACACTAAAACTTCCCCTGGTCACGGGCGCGAAACTGTACCAATAGACCTGTCTGCTTAGCAAACCAATACGTTTTGATCTTCCACTCTGGCTCGCTTGAGGCCCACTCCAAGTCAAATTGCCTGAGTATCTGAGGAACAAATTTTGCCATTTCCATAATAGAAATATTCTTGCCGATACATGTTCGAGTACCGGCGCCGAACTTCGCAAAGTGTGAGTTTCTACCACCTAAAGGGAACATGCAACGTACCGTCATATTGTGTCGATCCATCGTCTTGATACGGTCAATATCATTATCTAGCCATCGTTCAGGCCGAAATGTGTCTGCATCAACTCCAAAGATACTCTTGTCGCGGTGGATGACGGCCGCATTGATGCCCACGATTGTGCCGGCTGGTAGATACTTTCCGCATATTTGTATCCCGTCTCCAGGAACCACTCGCTCAAGTGGATATGATACGCCAGGATGCATACGTAGGGCTTCCTTGATGCATGCTTGTCTGTGTACCTGTCAGAAGCCACGTCTATTACTGTACATATACTCGGGATATGCAACTGTCCCGCAGATCATGTTCCTTGATGCGTCAAGACTCACAGATAATCCAATTCAAGGCTCTCAGAAAAGGTGATAATTGGTGAAAGCCTACCGGCTTGATGTGCCTCGTCTATCTCCTTCTGCAACTTCTGATACACGCGTCTATCTTTGATAATGTAATAGAAGACAGCTCGAAGAGAAATTCCAGTCGTGTCACTTCCCGCCAATCTGTGCGCAAGGAAAAAGGGATATGTCAGTATCATGTTTCAAGCTCTTGGATAGATACCTACAGATTATTCATCAAATGATTCATCAAGTCTCGACGGCTTATATGCTTCCCTGTTGATATTTGTTCCTGTCGAAAGTAGGCTAGGAAGTCTGCCCGCTCCATCGTTGGTGACTGCGAGTCATACTCATTGATAGCATCCAAAACCATCTATCGTGACGTGAACAAAGTTACCTATACTGTAATGCAAAGGATTCCTGAATCGGTGCGGTACTTACAGATGTAACTATTGGAATTGGATCTTGAGCCCCGAGTTTGGCGATGATTTTTCTGAAAGTTTGATTGCCCAGAAGAAATCGGTGCAACGATGGTATCTGTCCTACTATGCCCGCGTATTTTAGGCCCGCTTCAATACCCGAAATGACATTGTTTATATCTTGCCGGTTCTCCATGAACCCGAAACGTCGGGAGAATGTGATAGCCCCAATGACGTCGAAGGCGTACCATTGGCACCATGCGCCAAGGTCTATCACTTGTCCTTGCAAGTCCAGCATAGAGTTGCTGAAGATTTCGCTGCAGGGGTCTACCATGCATTCAAGCGTCCGTAGGGACGTCATCGAGAACTTTTGAGCTACCGGTCGTTTTAGGGCTTTGTGCTCTTCAGGGTCTGTAGTCGTAAACATGCTTTGCATTATCTCGTCCTCGTAAAAGAACGACAAAGTCTGATAAAAGGGAGACTACATCAAAATTGTCAAAAGGGATTTTTAGCTTTATAAATTGTCTGTTGGGTAGTAAATACCTTGCTGAACTTGGAGCCGATTCCGTAGATAGTTGATATGGCCGCCGGTTCCGAGACGTCAACCACATTGGGTGCAGTTCGAACTATCGGTCCATACTTCGCATGAAGGATTCGATAATTCTGGTGAGCATTTCCATTCCAAACAAGACTGAGACGCCGAAATTGGCTGATTTTGGCCATCCACGGTCCAGGAATATCACGCAGTCCAGGGCGGAGGGCCGTGTGAACAAGGCTTACAAGCCAGCCGACCAGAAACACAGCACAGGCCACTGCCATATCACTCCAGGCGATCGATTTCATTCTCGTCTGAAAGAAATGTTACCTGGGAGAAAACATAAAGAATGTCATCTTGTGACTTACAGTCTGTGGCTTTTCAATGTGGAATCGAAGTCGCAGCAATAAGTGTCAAGGCCAAAGTAAAGAATACCAATAGCTTTGAGCGATATTAAGTCAAAAATACTGCAACGCAGTTACTACTTCTACGATGGGTTAAATTCATCAATGGCCAGTCAAACCGTGGTAAATGTCACCCTCTCGCTTGGGATACTTTTAGTCTACCACTTGGTCCGGGGCTACTTCATTTCCCCGGCGGAGGATCTTAAGCATTATGCAGCCAAATATCTCCGGCATTACCTCACTCAATCGTTCCGTCATGGTGGCCGTGATGATTCAATGATCTTCCGGTTTTGCACCCACGAGCCTCGACCTCCAAAATGCGTATTGTCTCTTTTGCCGTTTAAGTCGTGGCCAGGACCCTACCTAGAATCTCTACAGACAAGCATTCATAATCTCACAGTAACACACAAGAAAACACACATTTCATACAGGAGAAATAGTTTGCGACACCATGGCTTCCCAGACTCAGGACATCCGCAATGATCCTTCCAAGATTCAACTTGAACGCATTGCCCATGTGTATTTCGAGCATTCAGACCTTGACAAGTTCGATGAATTTGCCAAGGACTTTGGTCTGATTCAAGTCTGCCGAGATGCGAACCGGATATTTTACCGTGGCTTTGGAAAGGATTCATACTGTTACGTCGCTCGCCAGTCATTGACTGGAGTACAATCCTTCAGTGGCGGAGCATTCGTTGCCCAGACGCAATCTGATTTCGACAAGGCCGCAGCTCTCGAGGGTGCTGTCGTCTCGGACCTGTCGTCCTTCCCAGGTGGTGGGCATCAAGTCACGCTGAAAAGTCCCTCGGGCTTCCTGTTCCATGTAGTGTACGGGCAACAAGAAAGAACTCCCGATTATTCCGCATCATCTACATTGGTTGAAAGTCTCGGTCCTTTCAACGGAACCTTAGTGAAGAGGCGATTTGGTAAGTAATGTTTAAGTGATCATTGGGCTACAGTGAAAGCTGATACTGTTGTTTCAAGGTCAGTTTCAAAGGTTTAATCATGGTCCCGCCATGATCCACAAGCTTGGTCATTACGGCTTCATAGTAGCCGACTGGGAAGAGGAAGTCCGATGGTATACAAGCAATTTTAATTTTGTTCCTTCTGATGTGCAGTATGACGGAGCAAGCGTAAGCCTTGATGTTATCGCCTTCTTCCATCTAGACTTGGGAGAGCGCTTTTCTGATCATCATTCGCTGTTCCTCTCGCGGGCTCCTCCAGGAGAGCACGATCGAATGCACCACTCATCCTTTGAAGTGGAGGACTTTGACACCCAGCTTTTGGGGCACGACTGGTTAGCTAAGAAGGGTTACAAATCCGTTTGGGGTGTGGGAAGACATATTCTGGGGTCTCAAATCTTCGACTACTGGAGAGATCCTAGTGGATTCACTATAGAGCATTATGCGGATGGCGACCTTGTTAATGTTTCCATAAAGACAAAGCGGACCCAGGCAGGCCCATTATCTGTATGGGGCCCTGAGTTCCCTTCGGATATGACGGAGGATGGGACGAGAGCCACAGCTGCTTGAATCTACAAGTCGCGAGACATGGAACTTACATAGCTTGTTAGAATATGCAGCAAATGAGAGAATTGGAATTTGGAATGAGCAACAACAACAAGTCCATGAATGATGGCGTGGTAATTCCAGATAGTGGTTAAGATGGGCCGGGATGAACATACGATATTGTACATACGTCCTACCAAAGAGCGGGTCGTATCACACGAAAGAAATCCACTTATATCCATCCGTAAGACAGGCCAACTTCCGGAGAGACTTGGAAGTTTTAGCGTAATCCGGCGGCTCCATACCGGCACATTAAAAGTCAGGTTTCTCCGGCACTAGCAGACCTCGCGGGGTCAGCAGACAGAATCCGGAGCAATCCTGGTCGTTTTGAAACAGCCGGACACTAGAGCCTCAGGGCCTCTGTCTTGGAGCATTTCGAGATTACACAAGAGTCTGAGCCGGGATTTTAGTCCCTACTTACAAAATTTCAGACAACCTAAAGTTACAGCGGAATGATTTGAATTAAATACTAAAATACTCCCGCAGTACTATTAACTGAATAGATAAAAGCCCATCAGATTGGTGCAGTCGAGAGGAAATCAGCACGAAGATATACCAAAAACTCATTTAATTACCGAATTCTTGATTGACTTCCGACTTGCAGGCATTCCGCGGTCATGGTGCCACAATGGGAGTTTTTGGTCCGATTTCTGGGCCAAGATGACCGGACCTACCTCGCCTCCCTACCATCACTAGAAGCTGTTTGCGAGATAGTAAACTCCACTATAACAGGCTTTATTTCTTATCAAGACCTGCTCAACCAGAAAGGGACATCTGTCAAGGTTCAGAAGGTGCGGCTATGTTCAACCTGGAGTGCTTCAGAATTAGATTTCCAAGTTTATGCCATGTGCTAACCATTCAAGGTAGCTTATCTCCCCATTGCCAGTTGAAGGGGATATCATATGCATCGGAATGAATTATAATGAACATGCAAAGGAGTCGAACGTGAGACTACCAAGCTAAGCTCATTTACCCTGCTACTGGGCTTCGCAGACTAACTGAAAGGGCCGATCTTCGCCTACAGCTCACTGTACCCCTCGATCCAGTTATGTGGTATAAACCCAAGAGAGCTCTGGGAGGACCTGGCGATATTTCAGTACCACCTACGGCAGCAGAGAATTTCCTTGATTTCGAAGTATGCAACACCTGTCTTACTAAGAGGATAACCTCATTAACAATCGTTCTTATAGGGGGAACTTTGCATCGTCCTATCGCGTGACGCTCGGGACGTCAAAGTGGAAGATGCTTCCGATTACATCCTTGGGTTCACCGTTGGAAATGATCTGACTGCTCGGGCCTATCAGGACCCCAAGCGTAGTGGAGGACAGTTCACTCGGTGCAAGGCCTTTGACGGCTTTGCGCCTCTAGGTCCAGTTCTCACAAATGGGGAAACATTCGGCGCCTTGAAGGATAAGAGGATTGTCACAAAGGTAAACGGAAAGGTGTTCCAAGACAGCCCTTGCGACATGATACATAGTCCAGAAACTCTAATAAGCTTTCTTTCTCAAGGTTAGTCAAAGTAGAATAATTACTTTCCCCACTGACGTATCATCACAGGAACGACATTGCCAGCAGGCACAGTGATAATGACAGGTTCGCCCCCAGGAATTGGCTACTTCCAGAATCCAAAGTATAGCTTAAAGGACGGAGATGTTGTTGAAGTAACTATATCAAATATTGGCACGTTGAGAAATGTAATGATCTTCAAATAGTCAGGTAGACTTTGCCTAGAGTTTCCAATAATCCAAGACTTCTAGCCATTACCTATAAGTAATGGGGGTGAAATAATTAGTGCTTCTTTTGACCCGGTCAGATTTGCATTACTTAAATCAACGCCCAAGATTCCTTGCCTCCCCTTAGCAGTTGACTATCGTAATAAAAGTGAGTCGTGACCTCAGAAGTACCGTTCGTATGCCTTTGCAGATTCCAGGACCATCTGGTCAAAAGGGATCCAACCCTGTCCTGTTGCTTCAACCGCCTTAGTAGCATCGACCTTGAAACCACCATTGGGAATGCTATAGTCTTTCAGATATCCCTTTCCTGGTTCGCCCTTCCCAATAATTCCTTGTCTATGTGGATAAGCCTCTCGCAACAAATCGCGATAAGCCTGGATGTTTCCAAAGTTGCCATTCCCTCCAGCAATGTACCGCTGTCCATCGGCCACTTCTTTCTTGTCAACTGCAAACACCATGAGCCGTGCAACATCGCGCACGTCAACATGTGTTCCATTACCAGGTCCAGCAGATGACATGTTCTCCCCGTTCATGATGCGATAAGGAACGATGGCGGTCTCACTTAACTTCTCTGGGTCATCAGGCAGAATCAGCGGCGGTCCAGCCACCCAGACCGGATTGACAGCTGTCATTGTAAAATTGATGCGATCTCGGTTCTTTTGCCGAAATTCCCAGAATGCGCGCTCTGCTTTGACCTTGCTCGCAACGTAGATTTGGTGGCCTGTCACTTCTGAGCCAGCCTTGGCGATCGCATCCTCAATTTGGTCATTCCAGTCTTCTTCCGTGTAACCTTTCTCTGGGTACTTAGGCTTGCACCCTCTGACAGCCACGATAGAGGACACATACACAAACGACTTGACGGCAGGCTCTTTGGCAGCGGACTCCAAAATCCCGAGAGTCCCCTGCAGCGAAGAACCGATGACGTAGTCGATATTGGTGTTGCTGAAGTCAACTGGCGCCGCGACATGAGCTATTGCCGTAGTATTTCTGACAGCTTCATCAAAAGCTCCCCTAGCCATTAGATCGGGGACCAGAATTCTCGTGAGTTGGCCGGAGGAAGCGTATGAGGGGAGTGCTGAGAGGAGGCTGGAAGCTGAGGATTGACTTCGTACTGCAGCGCGGACAGAATAGTTGGCGGCAAGGAAAGCTTCAACGGTACGTGCGCCGATGAAGCCATTTGCGCCCGTGACGAGAACGAGACCTTTTGTCGGCGACATGTTGTGTATGGATGGGTTTTGTGATCTCTGGGTGAATTTGTAGAAGAGAATAAAAACGAGTCGTTTTTCAATGCTCTCTGTCTTACCATTATGCTTGGGTCTTATCTTAGGTAGTGAACTTTAGTCTGGCTACATCGTCCCGGGTTTAGAAATTATCTGCGATGTTGGCGTAAACCGCCTGGAGATTAGTGTTATCGCCGATTCTTAGTTGCTGCCACAGTGACGTTTCAGAGGCCTCGCCGCTAATCTGGAGGACATTTGTCGATCGTGGATCCACTTGTAGGGCAGAGCTGCCACGGACATGGATGGCTCGAAAGAATGACACTTATGTCCGAGCCAGTAACATAGCTCAAGATAGATGCGTCTTTTGATGAATTGACAATTCGTGTTGAAGGCCCTTTGGTGAAGCACATGTCTCAGTGGAAGGAAAGCTGAAGCTGTAGGGGGGCATTCAGTGGCCGGTGCCCCACAGTTCCCGAGAGGGGTCATTCACTGCAGCTTTGTTCGACAGAAAACCGCGACAATTGCACACTCATACTCCAAAATCCGACAAAGAATGTGTTTTCCAGCAATATTGTGGTCTGGATGCCTGGAACTTGCGAATGTTCGCCCAGCTTTGTCTACCTACTATAGGCAGCAAGGCATGTATCCGATTCAAGGCTGACAGACTCAGCCGCAGCTCAGCCCCCGCCATTTGGCTCCTCAATGAGATTTGAACCGCCAAATCGCCAACAAACAAACAGCCAGACAAACACAAGCAACAAACATGCCTTCACCTCAACACGAGTCTGAACTTTCGCCCCGCGAGTCCCGCATCATCGGCGCACTACTAGGTGTCCATGCCGGCGACTCGTTGGGCGCAACGCTTGAGTTCAAAACCCATACGGATATCGCCCGTGAATACCCTCTCGGTCTCCGCGACATCGTGGGCGGGGGCCCATTTCGTTGGTCGCAAGGCCATGCGACAGACGATACGGATATGACTCGTGGAGTACTCCTTGCATACCATGACTACAAGGCCGGCGACGACATCGCGCAACTCGCTGGCGACTATTTCATCAGTTGGCTACACGGCGACTGGCCAGGCAGGCGTCCGGGAAGTCGGCCTGAGGACATTGGAGGGGCGACCGCTACTGGGCTCAGGCGCTATCAGCAGACTCAAGACCCTGACCGCGCCGGGGCTGGGCAAGGTAGTGCTGGGAATGGAAGCTTGATGCGCTGCATCCCGACCGGATTGTTCCAACGCGATCCCCAGAAGTTGGTCGATGAAAGCATTCGTATCAGCAAGATCACCCACGACGACAAGAGATGCACGGTTGCATGTGCAGCCTACAACACGATTGTGTCAAAGCTCATCGACCAGGTCGGACCCCAAGAAGCCATCGAGGCAGGTCTCAATGTCGCAGAAACTCTTGAAGGAGGCTCCGGCCCAGTATACAAAGCGATTGAACTCGGCAAATCCGTCAACATAGCAACAATGGCTAAGAAAGGACCTGTGCCGGAACTTGGAGGCAGATGCAGCGGATACGTCCTCGAGTCACTGAGTCTCGCGATTGCGGCGGTCCTTGATACTCGCAGCTTGGAGGATGTTGTCGTGGACGTTGTTCGCATTGGCTGGGATACAGACACAAACGGAGCGATCGCGGGAGGGATTTTGGGAGCTCGAGACGGAGCAGCGGCTATCCCTCCCCATTGGAAATCGGTATTACAGTTTGGTCGTGAATTCGAAAATACGGCTTTGAGTATTTTCGAGAAGAATGCGGCCTAAGAGCCCAGTCCTTTAGAGTACATTGGTTGTCAACAACGTCCATTCTAGCATAGGTTCAACATACAATAGAGGACTGAGACCTCATGAATAAATGAATGCAATCTCATGAGATGATATCTGGTCACGGAAACATAAATTGGTCATGGCTTGCAGGACCGGGAGCTCGAACAGGCAAGCCCCAATGCCCCGCACTCCCACATCACGATATTTCCATTTCGTCGCCTCTGCAGTAGCTCATTGACCCCATCGAGTGATAACAAGGATTGACGCTACGGCTGTGCGCAGTCGATGCTAGCCTCGGGAATGTTAGCGATGAGGGCCTGGGGGAGCAAGAAAACATCGGACCTCAAGCGTCAAAATAAACTTAGCAAAAGATATCCTAAACTTATACTAAGTTACCTAAACTACTACCAAGTTACCTAAACCTTACTTAAGTCTTTTTGTCATTTGGTATCAGGTCTTGAGTTTCTTCCTCCTCTCGGAGGGATACACGTGACACAGGTTGCGGGGTCAAACTCATGAGGACAATTATCCATGTCTCATCCCCGGATTCGCTTTTCCGTTCAATCTTGCCCAGTTTCATCCTCTCTTTTCCGTTCGGACAGCCTCAGTTCACAAAAAAAGAAAACACCTTTGCGCGAGTGGATAGACGTGGCTCCAATGACTTCAGAGCGTTCCATACTCCCAACACCGTCAGATACAAACAGCATACATGCGGCGAAGAAGCGGAAAAAGAATGCTGAGAGAGTCAGGGTGACAAGGGCATGCGATGGATGCAAGAAGTAACGCAACCCTAGGCATTTCCACGTAGATCAACCGTGAGCTAATCTGTGTACCTAGGCGGAAGATCAAATGCAATGGCATGCAGCCGTGCAAGTTCTGTACCCGGACAGGGGCCTCTTGTACCTTTGACTCGGCTTATGCGAGAGGGCGTCTGCCGGTAATACCCTCAGCAGATGAGGCGGGACATGAGAGCATAACTGTCTCGGCTCAAGATACGATGCCTCGGAGCGAGGACACCAGCCCTACGGATTTGACGCAGCAATACATGGCAAATGCTACCAACCAGAGTGTAGAGCTGCAAGACTATGGCATTTCATCCCATCTCATGGAGCAGAGCGGCACGGGCTCGCGAGCTGTAACGTCGGTGCAACAGTCCCCTGAGCCGTCTCAGGAGGATCTTCAGGGTCACTACATCGGCCCGGCCTCTGGAGTGTCATTCCTACTCAGGGTTCAGAAGCGCATGCATCAAGCAATATCGTTCTCGGGACCAGGAAGCATATTTACGTTTGGTGATGCACCTCTTCAAAACCCTGACTATGATCCGAACTTTTGTATGATGCTTCCGAAAGAGGATGCTCAGCGCCTGGTGGATCGTTACTTTGACTTTGCTATGCCGACCTACCGCTTTCTTCACCGACCCACGATTCAGGAATGGTTCTCGGAGTTCTATGAGACGCTAGGGACTATGCGTGATCCGAACAACTCTGCCGCCAAAGTTGCTTTGCTCTTCATGATCTTGGCGCATGCTAGAGTCTACATGCCTGAGAATGACAGACCTGGGCCATCTGATCTGAGGTAAGGCGGGTGACTCTTCTTGACTACCTTCTGCGCTAATCACTTCCCAGTTCCCGGTATTACTTGGCAGCTGAACATCAACTCTCGAAAGAGAGCGGCTCAATACGACTTACCAGCGTTCAGGCTCGTCTTCTGCAGTGCTACTACCTTGGAACGCAATCCCGGGTCAACCACTGCTGGAGTCAATTCGGTATTGTCACAAACCTAGCACTTGCTATCGGACTGAATCGAAACAAACGACCCGGCGTTATAAGTGGGCTGAACCATATTGAAGTCGAAAGTCGTCGAAGAACCTTCTGGTGCGCATACACTCTTGATGCATATCTCAGCGTATCGCTGGGCAGACCACGCAACTTTCACGATGACGATATCGATACAGAACTTCCAGCTTGTGTCGATGATAATGATATAACCAAGGATCATATTAATCTTGCTGGGTCAGCTAAAGGCTACTCGGTTATGCTTGCTCCGCTTGGACATATGAAGTACTACCTCCATCTAATCTGCAACTACAAGCTAACTCATGGCCTAGGCTTGCGCGCATCATAGGTCAAATACTGCGTGGTCTTTACTCAGTCAAGCCTATCTCGATCTCCAAGCGCCTAGAGGAAACACAGCTCGTCTCAAAAGCCCTCGCAGACTGGCGAGCTGAGTTCTCCCAGTTTCTCGATGCCGACTACTTCAGTACCTCGTTCCTTGTCCCGATCGTTCAACGTCAACGCAACGTTCTAAACTTGACATATTGGCATGCCATAATACTCACGCATCGACAAGCCGTCTTGAACAATTTCGCAAGGATCTCGCGTCAGAATAGGAGGGGGAGTGAGAACGATGCTGCAACCCAAGAGAGCGTTCAAAGGTGCCTCGAAGCTGCCATCCAAACAGTTGGCCTGATCGATGAGATGACCGATAACGGACAAATGTTCCGGGCATTCTGGGTTTGTACAACCAATTTCTTTCCGGTATCAAAACTGACAAAATGATATCAGGTAACGGCATATTTTGCTTTTACTGCAGCCATGGTTCTGTATATCTACGTGATCCAGAAATGGGCATCACCCCCTGAGACATATAGTGAATACTTTACAGCTGCAGTTCGATGCCAATCTCACATGTCAACAATGGTCGAGAAGGGCTCATTATCAGAACGATACTGCTTCCTGCTGGAAGAACTAAGGGTGGAGGCCTTACGCCAGGTGAATCGGATGCATCCAAACGTATTTGCTAGTCTGAGTCTAGAAGGGCATGCACAAGACAGCGCTTTTCAGTCCAATATCATACCGATGGATACGCCGAGCGACAAAACTTCTTACACGGACTTAATGGGGGAGAACGGGGGGTTGGACTTTAATGGCATGTCTGGTGTTGACTTTTCAGGGACGGGCTGGGGCCAATTCGCATCGATGGTCTCGTCAGGCTTGGGTAACCTAGATGCTTTCCTTGACGATGAGGTTTTTCGGCTTTAGGAGCAATTGTAATACACAAGCTTGGCATTCGGCCTCTGATGGACCGAGTATTGTTCTTCCGAGGTCCACTCACCCACAACTGGGTTACCCTAAATACATACTTCAATCAAGTAAGCTTGCCGAGTGTAACGGATAAGACCTTTCCTTTTCCAGTCATCGGATCTAAAGCCGAAACTGCATCGGAAAACCCAATATGAGGAGCTGTGTCTGGTTACGGGAGGAAAGAAAACGCAGGACCTTGATCCAAGAGGATGAAAAGATTTAGGTAAATTACTTTTAACCTCTAGTACCTTGACCAAGTTTAAGATACCTTTTGCTTGGTTTATTTTATCACCATACGTTAAAGTCGGGTTTATTCTTGCTCCTCGAGGCCCGGCGACTAATCCGCTAAAGATCTTGGTTTGGAGCGGATGAGGGGTACCTCGCGTTAGCTTCCACGTTCATCCTTACCATTCCTTGAAGCGAATAAAGTCAGCCTGTCGAAGCCGTCAGAGGTACTTATTATCTGGCCTTAGCAGACATCGAATTAGCCCTTTAATTGTTTGTGAACAAGCTCGCAACATATCCCACTTCCCAAAATGGCATCCGCAGTCTCAAAGCGCCTCGAAGGCAAGACAATTCTCATCACCGGAGCGTCTTCCGGTATCGGCAAGGCCACAGCCTTCGAGTTCGCCCGCACCAGCCCCAAGAACCTCAAGTTGGTCTTGACAGCGCGACGAATTGATAGTCTTCGTCAAATCGCTGAAGATATCGTCAAAGAAGTTGGCGATTGTGTCAAAGTGCACCCCGTCCAACTGGACGTCAGCAAGCCTGAAGAGGTGCGCTCTTTCGTGAGCAAACTGCCTGCAGAGTTTAGTGAGATCGATGTCTTGGTCAACAATGCGTAAGTTTCTCTACTGCAAAGATTGAAAAGGTGATAAGCTGACTTCTTCTTGCAGCGGTCTCGTCAAGGGCGTTGATAAGGCTCCTGAGATCAAGGAGGAAGACATCAATGTCATGTTCGCTACCAACGTCACAGGCTTGATCAATATGACACAAGCTATCCTACCTATTATGCTGAAGCGTAATAACGGCGAAGGAGCCGGTGACATTATCAACATTGGCTCAATCGCAGGTCGTGAGCCTTACGTTGGCGGTAGCATTTATTGTGCGACCAAGGCTGCCATCCATTCGTTCACTGAGAGTCTGCGAAAGGAGCTTATTTCAAAACGCATCAGAGTCATCAGAATAGACCCTGGCCAAGTCGAGACCGAGTTCTCAGTAGTCAGATTCTACGGGAATAAAGAAAAGGCCGATGCAGTCTATGCGTAAGTTTGCACTTCTCTGCGTTTTGATGAGGTTATGAGGTCAAAAGAGGCTCCAATCCCATCAAATACCAGATTTCTTATGAACAATGAGCTAACCAGTGATAGTGGCTGTGAGCCTTTGACACCGGATGATATTGCTGAAGCCATTGTATTTGCTGCTGGCAGAAGGGAGAATGTAGTCATTGCTGATACCTTGATATTCCCCAACCACCAGGCTGCGGCTACGATTATGCACAGAAAGAGCTAGGAGCTACGTATCATAGATAGACCAAGACATCCATACAAATAGACACTCTCAAGGTATAAATTCTCACGTGATCTGTTGGCAATTGGCGTTGTTCAAGGCTCGTACGAAGACCTTTAATCATTTTTCACAATTGCCCAGTATTGCAGCAGTAAAGGAGTGATGAAGACCATTTCCCCAGTTCGTTACTCTCTGTCGCTCCAGTGAGCTCTTGTGAAAACTGAAAGTAGTCACTCGCATCTTCCAAATGGCTAGTCAGACTTGGGCAAACATCTCCGGTCCTAAGGCCATGCAGGATGACCGACTACCTTATCTCTGCATGCATTCAACCTAATCTAGAGCCCCCGCGTATCCTACGCGCTTCCACCCGCAACCTCGTGCTTTCTCCTCGGCAAATCGAGTACTCGGCTTCGGGTATTTTTCCTCGTAAAACTAGGCCCAGACCGAGTCAAGTGCAGTTGGAGTAGCGTCGCATTGGGCCAACGCTTTGCGGGGGATCGGCCATGCTCACTCTCGCTTGTCGGAAAAGCAACATTCCCAACCACCTCAGGGGCGGTTTTTCCGCTACAGCCACCAAGCCCCATGACCCGAGACGGGGTAGCATGTGTATGTCTCGCATTCCCGTTGCTGATTATCCAGCGTCGGATCTGGATAAACGGGCATGATCCGCTGACCACTGCACTTATTCAAGAGTCCGCAGGCGACCTGGCGAATGAAAACTGGTGACTACTGCGTCTCTCATCCGCGGGTGGAGATCACGGATTCATATCATGGTTGGCCCCAGAAGCCAGAGTAAAACGGAAGAAAGATATTGAGGCAAATTCCCATCTAGGCCACAGTCCAGAGGCTTTAAGTACTTGTAATCTTCCAAAAACACCCTTCTAGTTTACTTTTGCCATACACAATACCCAACAACCCAACTTCTTTGGCGAAATTGATTCGATAGTCATCATGTCCTTCTATAGAGCCCCACCAAGCGGCGTCTGGGCACCAGCGATCACATTTTTCGACCATGAGACAGATACACTAGATACCGATTCACAAGCAGCATACTACTCTTATCTCTCTAAAACCGGTCTTGCAGGCCTGGTCGTGCTCGGAACAAATGCCGAGACCTTCCTGTTGACACGCGAAGAACGCAAGGCATTGTTACAGACAGCTCGTCAAGCATGCGGGCCATCATTCCCTATCATGGCCGGTGTTGGTGGACACTCAACCAAGCAGGTCTTGGAGTTCATCAACGACGCAGCTGATGCCGGAGCCAACTATGTTCTGCTGCTTCCCCCGGCCTACTTTGGGAAGCAGACAACCCCGGAGGTCATCAACAACTTCTTTGACGACGTTGCGCAGAACAGTCAACTACCTATCGTCATTTACAACTTCCCTGTCGTTTGTAACGGCATCGACCTGGACTCTGCCACCATCGCTGCATTGGCAAAGAAACACAGCAATATTGTTGGCGTCAAGCTGACATGCGGAGCTGTCGCAAAGATAACGCGACTTTCCGCAGAGCTTCCCGAGGAACGTTTTGCAATCTACGGTGGCCAATCAGACTTCTTGATAGGAGGCCTGGCTGCTGGGTCTCACGGCACAATTGCAGGTTTTGCCAATGTTGTCCCCAAGACAATCGTGCATATCTATAACCTCTATCAAGAGGGCAAGTTCCAAGAAGCGATGGCTCTGCACAAGAAGGCGGCGCTGGCCGAGCAGCCTTGCAAGGCTGGAATTGCATCAGTCAAGTATGCTGCAACTCTGAGCACAGCCAAGGCCGCTGGTATCAAGGGCGCTGCAGAGAAGTTGAAGCCCAGAAGGCCATATGTGGAGCCTACGGATGCTGCGAAGAAGAGCATTGAGTCACAAATTTCTGAAATGTTGAACTTTGAAGCCACTCTAAAGCTACCGGCCGAGAAAGGCAAATCTAATGGCGTGACGAATGGAGTATCGAATGGGATCACGAATGGAACATCAAACGGCGTGGCGGTGCATTAAAGCACCTATATACAAGCTAAATAGCATAAATATTCTACAATTGACTATTGATTCAATACACCCCGCAACAGACAAGCGATATGGATGTTCACTCATGATCTCAATACCGGTGACGTTTCTCAGTGTCGAATCCGATCCGACAGACCATGCGAGTGCCCTAGGGTACCACAGTGGCCTAGGTGCCTGTGAGGTGCCCTAGCTTGGTACCCTGCCGGCCTGGTGCCAATGCCCACTTTGGGTGCCAGAGGTGCCTCTATGCTAATGCAGCAGCGAAGATTCTTGATTCAACCAACCCTCACATATCTGGAGCGCCAAAAGGCAAAATACTTTTGCGAGACTTTTGCGAGAACGGTATTGGTTAACTTGAATAAATATTTCGTTTAACAGGGATAACTCTGTCTGTATTTTCGTATACGTCTAAGCTCGAGCTATTGCTATTAGCGCGTGCTGAGCTCAAAACCATCAGCGGTCTCAGCGCCTCGGTCTGCCAGCTCACAGGGGTAAGTTCGCTGTTTGACAGCACAAAGTCCATTGCATCAGTGCCACTTGCGAAAAGTTTCATTGCCTCAATCGAATCAACATTTCTGAACAGCCATGCCCCAACTATAGCGACTTCTTTGGGGCATTTGAAAGTCCATATCGTGACGTCTTTGCTATTTCTTCGATAAGGCACCTCATGCATGGCCTTCCGCGTTCTAGGCTCGATGATCAGCGCCTAAGAACTGCTAACGCCCACTAGAGTATAAGCTTACAGCGCCACCAATTTATCGACAAAAAGAAAACAAGACGGGATAGGGGAGCATTAAAAACTCTCACAGTTCTAAAACCCTTCCCTAGACCGTAACATCAATTGTCGCGCATTTAGTAACTCACCAAAGTCATTCGCTTTTTAAACATGGTTTCGTCGTCATTGCTTGCCGGCGCGTTGGTGGCTTTCGCTATCCACAGCGTTAATGCTGGGCCGTGTCGTCCCTCATCTGTCTCGACCACTGAGGGCGCTATGTCAAGCAGCTCAGAGACCACGCTTACTTTGTCCACCACGGCTGAGCATTCTGTCATTACAACGCAAACAACAACTACTTCTGATGCTGTCTCGTCGTCTGAGACTTTGGCCGATGGCACCACAACTACCCAGGTTGTTCAAGACACCACCACAACAGACGTCGAGACTACATCCACCGTTGGGCCTTCTGCCACCACAACTGAAACAACCTCTGTCTCCGAGGACATCACAACTTCCGTAACTTTGAGCGATGGCACCACGACCTTGCTGTCGATTACCACGACTACCGAGGTCCTCGATGGCACTACGACGACAGCCCCATTTACGACAACCACCACTGCAGCTGCTGTGCCGGACGAGTGCTTTTTAAACGCTGAATGCGAGGCTCTTTACGGCGGGGCCAACCCCATCTGCGATGCCGGCACTTGCGTTCCGGACAATAGTCAAGGCTCTCCATGCTCTGATAACAGCGACTGTACTATCCCCGGCCAAACCTGCTCCGACTCTGGTTTCTGTCATGTCGCTTCACAGCAACCAGACTTCTGCACTGACATAAACGACTGCCTCTTATCTGTCAACCCTATTTGTGCTATAGGACTCTGCGAGTGCCCCCTATCGACGAATGAATGCACACCACGGTCTGATCTGCAACTCTGCCAGTCAAATAATGGGTGTTCAGCTGGCGCTACTTGCCAGCATGGTCTCTGTGTCGATCAGGTTCAATGCGGTGGCCCTTCCGATTGTCAGGCTAACTTGGATCTGTGTGTTCTTCCCGGCGTTTGTGTCTGCCGCAATGGAGTATGTGCCCTTGATGGTTAAGGACGTTTGGCTACATTGTTCCATGTGGTTTATCTATGATATGCACGTATCATTTGGGAGGCTTCCTTATCTTTGATTGAGTATGGTACTCGTTTGTATTCTTCATAATATCATAATCCAACTATGTTTCCCACCACTGACTTCGAAATGCTCACACAAGCAAGTGATTCAAACCACTATCACTAGTATTCCGTATCCACTCAACATTCCATCCAAGCAACACCAAATCTAGAGCACATGCTTGAACAGTGGCGACCTGTCTCCCATGTCAAACAGCTCCTCCTCGGTGTACTTCCTCTTAGCCTCCTCGGCAATCTTGGCCTTGCGAGCATTGGCGAGCTTGTAGCTCCACTCCAGGAGGAAAGCAACGATCAAGCCGGTACCTCCGAAAGCAAGCGACAAACCAAATCCGGTGTAATACTTGGGCTTCTCCTTCTCAAGATACATAAAACTACCGACGATTCCACCAACGTTGCCGACACAGTTCATCAGAGCGATACCAATGGCACGTCGAGAAGAGGGAGCGATGTTGTTGGCGTTCCACGAGGCAGCGGCGGCTTGGATGGGATAGATACCGATAACAGCGAGAACAACGGCAAAGTAAGCAACGCCCTTCTTAGCTTCGAGTTGACCGTTGAGAGAAATCATGATCGAGTATGCGACTGTGACGATAACCATAGGAATGGCGACGAAGGGCATACGCCAGAAGAATCGGTCGGAGATCTTGGCGAAAACAATTGCAGAAATGGCAGCGGCGACGTAAGGGGGAGCCGAGGTAAGCTGGGCGTTCGTGTTGCTGAATCCCATCGCCTTGGTGATGCTTGGTAGGGTGAACTTGGTACCGTAAGAGAGAGCAGACTGGCACAGAAGGAAGTAAGCCTGGACGTAGACTCTCCAGTTTGTGAGCACCATGCGAATATCTTTCCATCTCACTGTCGATTCCTCTTGGAAGCCTCCTCCTTGCTTGATGAACATGGAGAGCTCAAGGAATCGGATCTCCTCGGGGTTCAACCACCGCGTAGACAGAGCAGGAGTATCGATAAGGAGAAAGAAGCACGCGACACCGAGAACAACTGTTGCCATTCCTTCGAGAAGGAAGATCCATCTCCAACCTTCGAGACCGGCGACACCATCCATCTCAGCGATTCCAGCTGCGAGGAGACCAGAAAAGGCACCAGATAAGGCACTGGCGCAGTAGAAGTAAGAAATTCTCACGCTGAGGTCCTTGGGAAGATACCAGTAACTATTTAATTGTTAGAATATCTTTTTTTGTGTCGACATCTGGTTGTTGAGCTTACCTGCACAGGTAGATAGCACCAGGGAAGAATCCGGCCCTGAATCGAGACGTCAGTATCAGCACCAGCATATTGGGTCCAAATGATCACTTTACTTACTCAAAAATACCAAGAAGAACTCGAGTAGCCATGAGGCCACCGAAATTTTGGACAAGTCCAGTGCAAGTCATGACGATACCCCAGCAGACGCAGAGGATACCGAGATACATCGATGGGCGCTTGAACTTCTTCAGAAGAATGTTGCTAGGGACTTCAAGAAGGACATAAGGTACAAAAACTATCAAATTTTAGTTCACAGTGATCTAATTGGCGAGTGTTGTCGTAACTTACAGATTGACAGGATGGTGTTGTACTGAACACCTGTGATAAGGTCAAGATGTCAACAGATTTCTTCACCACAACACACAGGAAACTCACCTGTCATTCCCAAGTCCTCGACCATGCCCTCAATCTTCGCATTGCCGATATTGGCTCTGTCAATATGGCATATCAAATAGAGAAGAGCGAGCATCGGGACAAGTCGAACATCAACCTTGCGGAAGACCTTCTTCTTTTGCTCCTCTGTGTAACTATTGTAGAAGTCGGCATCTTCAGGGCTCAAACCAAAGACGCGAAAACCGGCAATTTCGATGGCTTCGGAGGTGTTCTCGAGATGATCGGGCTTATGGTCGCCAACCTCAATGTCGCTCTTGGAGATTGAACTTCGAGGAGCCATGGTGAACGTGTTGCCACTCTGGGACTGTCGCCTATAAGGTTAAGGTTTAGGGTGCGAACACGGGTGATAAATGAGAGGACTTGAACCTCAAGAGTTGTGATGCTGAATGACCGAGCCCTGGAAGTGCTGAAGCAGGCTGGGTATTATAGTCGAGACCACGATCTGGAAAAGAGACGAGGTCATTGATTGCACAGATTAGCTCAAGCGGGTGCCCCACACTTCCCCAGACGAAAGCCAGTGTAACCCCAGGCTTGGCGACACCCAAAGCGGAGTGCCCATGCTTGCCAAGTGCGGGGTATGATTTCTGATGGTCTCATTGTACGGAAAAATCACCCCCAACGCCCAACGCTATCTCCTGGGGGATCGACGGAAGTGCTGATTAGCGGAAAAGCACCTGGTAAAGACGTTATCCGTGACGGATCTATGACCAGCCACATCAACCTCTCAAGGAAACATGTCCGATGTACCTTATCCTCTTGATTCGGAAATGATTACAACTCATGGAGCACTACACCAAGTAATCACGCATGATACCCGTGATGGTTACTCAAAGGAAACGATGTTTACCCCGCAAACAGCAATGACATGACAGCTCAACCATGTACAATCCCGGGATAAATAGTCCACCACTCAAACAATGCAGTTGCTATCAGTAGACTCAACAATCACAGAATACACACAGAATCCCAATCATGGCTCAACGAAGCATCATCAAAGACATTGTCATCACCCCTGTGGCCTTCCATGATATGCCCCTGCTGAACAGCGTGGGTGTACATGAGCCATATGCCTTACGCAGCATCATCGAGATCATCACAGAAGACTCATATGGTCTTGGTGAATCATATGGAGATTCGGCACATCTAAACCGCTTGCAAAAAGCAGCGGATAGTATCAAAGGTCTTTCTATCTACAGCACAAACGTCATCTACCAAAAATGTGTTGAGTCGCTCAAGACAGACACTAATACAGGTGGAGATGGCATGGGAGGCATGGTGACCACTGCCTCAGTCACTGACAAGGTCTTCTCACCGTTCGAAGTCGCATGTCTCGACTTACAAGGCAAACTGGCTGGCATATCTGTCAGTGACCTTCTCGGTGGACGTGTGAGAGACCAAGTCCAATACTCAGCCTACCTCTTCTACAAATGGGCCGGACATCCTGGTCA